TTTCTCAGCAGACAGGAAAGAATGGAAAAAATGCTCACCAGCTGAGAGCGAATTTTTGGCTATGGGAAAGCAGCTGAGAAATAGAGTTCTCTCCCACTGTCAAAAAGATTCTCAGAAGCTGTGAGAGTTTTTTGTAAGGAAATTTTCTTTCAGCAACTGAGAGATCGCCAAGAGAGGAAATATGAGAGAGACTCCTTCCTAGAGGAAAAAATCTCAAAAACTGAGAGAATTTTCCCGTACGGACTTTTTTCTTACAGCTGGGAAAGGCTTCCCTTAGGACAAATTTAAAAATATTTCCAAAACTGTGCTTTAACAATTTTATTAGCCGAGAACGAGTTTTTCTTATGGAGAGGTTGTTTCTCAGCAGCCAGGTAAGAATGAGAAAGAATGCTCGTCAGCTAAATGTGAATTTTTGTTTTGGGATATCAGCTGAGAAATAGTGCTCTCCCACTGTCAAAAAGATTCTCAGAAGCTGTGAGACCTTTTTGTAAGGAAATTTTCTTTCAGCAACTGAGAGATCTTCAAGAAAGGAAATATGAGAGAGACTTCTTCCTAAAGGAAAAAAGTCTTAACAAGAGATAGAATTTTCCCGTACGGATTTTTTTTTGTAAACAACTGAAAATGGCTTCCCATAGGAAAAAAATCCTCAGAAGGTGAGAGATATTTTTTCGCAAGACAACAAAATTCGGTATCAGAGAGGCACTTTTACATTTTGGAAAGACTTTTCAGATGCTGAAGAATATTTTTAACCAATGTAATTTTTTTTTTTTCAGGAGAGAATGACTTAGAGAAAGTCCTAATAAGAAATCAAGTAATAACACTGTAATTTCGGCCGGTCCGAACTTTTAATACACTCCACAAATTGAAACAAATTTGGCAATTTTCAAAAAAATTCTGTTAAAATCTTAGCAAGTAAAAGAAAACATTAAGTTTGGCCGGGTCGAACTATTTATACTCTCCACCTTAGAGTAAAGAAAACATTAGAACCAATTATTACCCACAAATACCAATTTTTAGATTTATTCATGGGAAAATGTGGCAAAAATTATCAAAATTCCGAATATCAGGAGATAAACCGAATATTGGGAGGTACCGTTTTTAAGCAGATACCTCCCCTTAGGGAATCACCAAATTTGAAATATATATCTGATGAAATTCCTAGGAGAATTTCAAAAAGTTGCAATATTACATAATATTTGGAATTTTTAGAGATTTTTTGCGTAGCTCGATTTATTTACTCAATTCTTCGAAATTCCACCATTTTTTGCACACCGTCATTTTGGGTCCATAGCTTTTGAAATAGTTAGTATATCTGACTAAATTTAGTTGAGCACTACCAAAGAGGCCTCTTCGTTAGGAATTACAATATTTGAAAAATATATCTGACGAAATTCCTTGGAAAATTTTGAAATTATAGTGTTACTCTATTTTTGGAATTTTTTCCGTAACGCTTTTCTTAAGTCATAATTTTGGAAATATTTGGTAGATCTAAGTAAAGCTATACCAAAACGTGGACCGATATATTATATCTCATTTTCTCTCTCATTTTCATTACTAACCATCCCAGACAAAATACAAATTGTTCTGCTAAATTTTGAAGCTCTACGTCAAATAATGTGGGCTGTATCGTGATTTTAACAGACAGACGGGCGGATAGACAGACGGACATCGTTAAATCGACTTCGAATTTTATGCTGATTATGAATATATATATACTTTATGAGGTCTACGACGAATATTTAGGGATTTTACAAACGGAAGGACAAAATTAATATACCCTAATAATATAATATAATATAATATTTCTCAGATGATTGGAAATACTTTTTCCACAAAAAAAAACATCCCAAATCCTACCGTTAAAAATTATGTTCAAAATCTTAAAAATACCGAATGTAGCCATTATATTAGGGTCCATACGACGATGTGGACCTGCATAGACAACTTTTGTCATTACAATATTCAAATTCGAAACTTGAAGAAAATCGGTGAATAATGTAGCTAAAATCATCAAAATGCCGAATATAGGGAGGAACTATTATTATGGGGGCTATACGAAGGCGTGGATCTGCACGGACAATTTTCCGTCACAGGCTGTAGTATCCATTACGAACTTCGAATACCAAATTTGAAACAATTCCGGTGATTAATGTCGTTAAAATTGTCAAAATACCCAATAACAGGAGGTACCGATATTTAGGGGCTATACGAAGGCGTGGACTTGCATAGACAATTTTCTGTCATAGGCAGTAGTATTCATTACGAACTTCAAATCCCGAATTTGAAAAAATTCCGGTGAATAATATAGCTAAAATCATCAAAATAGTGAATATCGTGAGGTACCGTTATATGGGGGCTATGCGAAGACGTGGACCTGCACAGACAATTTTCTGTCACAGGCTGTAGTATCCATTACAAACTTCAAATACCAAATTTGAAACAAAAACAACAATCAAAATACCGAATATCGGGAAGTACCGTTATTTGAGGGCTATACCAAAACATGGACCTACATGGCCCATTTTCAATACCAAAAGTCCTGCAGACATAATATACATTTGAGTAAAATATTATCAACCTACTTCATTCGTTCGGAAGCTAGAGTGAATTCCGTAGACGGACAGACGGACGGACCTCTCTAAATCGACATATAATTTTTTGCTGATTAAGAATATATTTACTTTGTGGGGTCTAAAATGTATATTACGAGGTGTTACAAACGGATTGACAAACTTAATATACCCTCCAAACTATGGTGGAGGTTATAAAAATTGTCTGCTGCTGAGAGAAAATTTGCCCTATAGGACACAATTGAAAAAGACTGAGAATGACTTTTTCCCATAGGAAAAGTTAAAAAAACTTTTTTCTTTAGGAAAAATTTTATCAGCTGCTGAGAAAGACGTTTTCCCTTAGGAAAAGTTTTTTCTCAGTTGCTGAGAAAGACTTTTTCCAATAGGAAATGTTTTCTCTCAGCTGATGAGAAAGACTTTTTCCCGTAGGAAATGCTTTCTCTCAAAGCAGACTTTTTTCCCATAGGAAAAGTTTTATCAGCTACTGAGAAAGACTGTTTCCCATAGGAAATGCTTTCTCTCAGCTGCCGAGAAAGACTATTTCCCATAGGAAGTTTTCCAATAGGAAATGTTTTCTCTCAGCTGATGAGAAAGACTTTTTCCCGTAGGAAATGCTTTCTCTCAGCTGCTGAGAAAGACTTTTTCCCATAGGAAAAGTTTTATCAGCTACTGAGAAAGACTGTTTCCCATAGGAAATGCTTTCTCTCAGCTGCCGAGAAAGACTATTTCCCATAGGAAGTTTTCTCAGCTGCTGAGAAAAACTATTTCCCATAGGAAATGTTTTCTTTCAGCTGCTGGGAAATACTTTTTCCCATAGGAAATGCTTTCTCTCAGCTGTTGAGAAAGACTTTTCCCATAGGAAACGTTTTTTTTCAGCTGCTGAGAAAGACTATTTCCCATAGGAAAAGTTTTCTCAGCTGCTGAGAAAGACTTTCTCCATAGGAAAAGTTCTCTCAGTTGCTGAGAAAGACTTTCTCCATAGGAAATATTCTCTCAGCTGCTGAGAAAAATTTTTTTTTCATATGAAAGGTTTTCTCAGCTGCTGATAAAGACTTTTTCCCATAGGAAAACTTTTCTCAGCTGCTGAGGAAGACTTTTTTCCATAGGAAAACTTTTCTCAGCTGCTGAGAAAGACTTTATCTAAAGGAAAAGTTCTCTCAGCTGCTGAGAAAGACTTTTCCCATAGGAAACGTTTTCACAGCTGCTGAGAAAGACTTTTTCCCATAGGAAAAGTTTTCTCCCTCTCTCTGTGAGTGAGACTATTCTCCTTTAGAAGAAAGATTTTTCAGAGAGGCAGCAATTGCTCCATAATAAAGGCAGATTGTCAGCTGCTGAGAATGATTTTTTTCCTATCTGAAAAAATTTCTCAGCTGAGAAAGACTTTTTGAATAAAAAAAATGTCATTCGCAGCTGCTGAGAATGACTTTTTCTCTTAGAAAAAAATATCTCAAAAGTTGAGAAAAAACTATTTTCTAGGGAAAATATACGATATAATACTACAGCAAAAAGTTCTAAGCTGTTGAGAAAGATTTCTTATTTCAGAAGAAAAATTCTCTTCACCTAAAAAATACTTTTCCCAGAGAAAGGAATTTAGTGAGCCGTTGATCACGGGAATATATTGTTCAGCAGCTGAGGAAGAAATTGTCTGAGCAACTGAAAAAGACTCTTTTTTTCTTAGCAGCTGAGAGAGGCTTTTTTATAGGACACAGACAATCAAAAAGTAGTTATTTCCAAGATTCCAAATTGAATTTCTCTTCCTCATATTCCCTATTCTCAGCTGCTGAGAAAGATTTCTTCTTTCAGAAAAAAATTCTCTTCATCTAAAAAATACTTTTTACTGAGAAAGGAATTTGGTAAGCCATTGAGAACGACTTTTTCCGTTGAGAATGTATTGTTCAGCAGCTAAGAACAGGGGTGCTCAAAAAGAAATATCTCTTTTCAGTCAAATTTCTCTTTGCTTATTTAAATCAAGAACAAAACAGTGTTAAGTCATTATTTATACAAATATTTTTTATCCATTTGCTTTATAAATTATTTAGGCAAACATTCATGTTAAAAAAAATTAAATTGAATCGTAAAATATAAAGAAAAACAGAATTTTAATTTTCTCTTAAATTATCTCTTTTTTCTCTTCATGTTCTAGAACACGGTTTTGAGCACCCCTGCTAAGAAAGACTTTTGCAAGAAAGAGAAATTGTCTGAGCAACTGAGAGAGACTCTTTTTTTTCTTAGCAGCTGAGAGAGATCTTTTTAAAGAGTTCACAGAAGCAAAATCTAGTTTTTTTTCGAGAATGCAATTTAAATTTCTCTCTCTCTCTCTCCCTCATATTCCCTTTTTTGTGGAGAGAGAGTAGAAGAGAGTCTATATTTTAACACAATTTGATAAAGTATTTAATTTTTCTTTTTTTATTTCTATGTTTTTTTACTCACCATTTTTTAATTGCAGACTAACGCCAACACAGCTCGTTAACACCAAATACAAAACGAAGATAATGAAACGTGACGATGTAAACTGAAATTTGTTGTTTTCGCTGCAATAGCTGCTGCTGCTCCAACTGCTGGTGCGGCCTCTTCTGCTCCATATATGGGAGAGAATGTGGCTAAAGCTTGGGGAACTGGAAATAGCTGACGACAATGGTGGCGACAATGGTGATGACGTTATACAGTCGAAGGTGTCGATGATAGTTTTGTTTTTGTTGTTGCCATCATCGTCATTCTTGTTATTGTTGTTGCTGGCATTAGTTGCAACACATGTACAGCTTAAATTTGCTCTTGTATGGGAAGCTGACAAGAAGGATGCCAATATTGGGGGTGGTGTTGAGGGCAATGACGTTGACGACGTTGATGCTGATGACTGGGTCCTTGAGTATATGGATGGTGTTGTCACCTTCCCAGTCGTTGACGTTGGCGTCGTCGTCGTTGATGACGCCGCTGCTGCTGATGTGAATAATAATGACGATGTTGTTTTTGTTGTTGTTAAAGCTAAAGCTTTTGTTGGCACTATTGTTTGGCTTTGTGGCAAACCCTCCGCATTGTTGTTTATTATTGCCGTCGCTGTTCTCGTTTCCTTTTTATTCTTCGCTGCTATTTTTCGTTGACTTTTTAAACTGCCATCATTTGTTGTCACATTTTGAGATTTTATTACATTTCTTTTGCCGGAACCGGGACAACAACAACACCAACAAGGAGTACAACAACAACTGCCGCTGTTGCTGCTGCTGCTCAGGCCATTATAACTTTTGTTAAATTTCAATAATAGATCTCCATCACCCTCGCCGAAACCATGCTCAACTTCAGGCTGACACAGACCAAGTTTGGAATTGTTGTTGTTATTGTTGCTCAGACTGTTGCTGCTGCTTTTGTTGCTGTTGTCATTAAATGACTTATAATCGTAAGCCATGTCTTACAAATTTGTTGCCGGCATTAAAGCCAATTTTTTCCTGGCGTCTTGCTAGTTTTGCTTCTTCTCTCCTCCGCCGTCTCTCTCGTCTTTGCCAGCTATGTGTGGCCTGCAACAGATAAACTTTTCTTCTTCTCCTCTCCTCCCCTGCCCAGCGTTTGGCTTTGTTAAGGGTTTTCTGCTTGAATTAATTATTGTTCACAGACATTTTGCCAAATTGCTTTATAACGTTCGTTCGTTCGTTGCTTTGTCGTTTGGTTGGTTGGTTGGAACGTTCAAATCTCTTTTCGTCTCAGCTTTTATGGCCCGTATAACACCCAGGTTCAGTAATTGCTGGAAAATTGAAATGTAAATGAATTTTATGAATAAATTGTTGAAAAATTATGTTGTTTACAATGATAGCTTAGTCTCTTGTTGTTGTTGTTATTGTTGGTCGCTTAGTGAAAAAGTATGAATGTCATTATGTCATTACTAAAGTAACACCTTTTGTCATTGGGCGGGGGAGAGAGATAATCATTATCCCAAATAAAGAGCGGGAGATGATGAGCCCGTCAAGTTGTTGGCCAACAAATGGAGAAGAAAAAAAAGAAAATTGAAAGAAAAACTTTTTGTAATTTTATTTATTTAAGGATAAACACACACACACAGACACACACTATACAAGCGGATTTCAGAGTTTCCAATCTTGTTGTAGGGTCGGTTTGGTTGGCAAGGGCGAACAAAATGTGTCTTATTTACCTTTTGTTCGCCCTTGCCAACAAGGAAAGTGAAAAGGGAAGAGAATGATTTCTTCAGACAAATTTAAAGAAATTTTTTGAAGGGCCACGGATTTTGGATTCTTGAGAGAATACATTTAAGGACTACCATAAGATTATTTGAAATGTTAACCCTTTATGGGGGTGGTTCCGCAATAGTGGGCCAAAATAGAAATGTTTATTTCGCATTTTAGGAGAGATGATGCGAAATGTTTATTTTGCATTTTAGTAGAGTTTTTATTATTCGAAAATTTTGATCCGATGTGGGGAAGGTACCAGAAGGAGTGGACTGATACCTGCCATCTTCTCAGCTGATCTTGTGTTGGCAGTAATATTGAGATGTGTGAAATTTTAAGAGAATCGAATGATTATTTCGCATTTTATGAGAGTTGTAATTATTCAAAAATGTTAACCCGTTGTGGGGTAGGCACCAGAAGTAGTGGCCCGATATATTCCATTTTCACACCAGATCTTTTGTTGATAGAAATATTGAGATGTGCCGAGTTTAAAAAGAATCAGATGCTATTTAGAATTTTATGAGCGTCATGGTTATTCAAAAATTTTTACCAGTTGTGGGGGAGGTACCAGTAGGAGTGGGCCGATATCTACCATCTACACACCAGATCTTGTGTTAGTATAAATATTAGGATGCCTGAAATTTAAATGCAATTGTATGCTTATTTCGCATTTTATGAGAAAATTTTGACCCATTGTGGGGGAGGTACCCGAAGGAGTGGACCGATATCTGCCATCTTCACTCTTGATTTTGTGTTAGTATAAATATTAGGATGTCTGAAATTTGAAATCAATTGGATGCTTATTTCGTATTTTATGAGAGTTATAATTATTCAAAAAGGTTGACCCGTTGTGGGGGAGGTACCAGTAGGAGTGGACCGATATCTAAAATCTACACACCAGACCTTGTGTTCGTAGAAATATTTATATGTGCCGAGTTTGAAAGTAAGCGGATACTCATTTCGCGCTTTATGGCCTTATTTGTTTATTCAAGATTTTAACTCTTTGAGGGGGAGGTACCAGAAGGAGTGGACCAATATTTACCATCTTCATGCCAGACCTTATATAGGAAGTAATATTAGGATGTTTGAAATTTGAAGGCAATCGGAAGCTTATTTCGCATTTTATGAGAGTTTTAATTATTCAAAAATTTTGACCCGTTATGAGAGAGGTACTAGAAGGTGTGGACCGATATCTTCCATCTTCACAGCAGATCCTGTGTTCGTAGAAATATTTATATGGGCCGAGTTTGAAAGTAATCGGATACTCATTTCGCTCTTAAAGACTTTGATTGTTTATTCAAAATGTTGACCCTTTGAGGGGAAGTTACCAGAAGGAGTGGACCGATATCTATCATCTTCACGCCAGAACTTATATAGGAAGAAATATTAGGATGTTTGAAATTTGAAGGCAATCGGAAGCTTATTTCGCATTTTATGAGAGTTTTAATTATTCAAAAATTTTGACCCGTTATGAGAGAGGTACTAGAAGGTGTGGACCGATATCTTCCATCTTCACAGCATACCCTGTGTTCGTAGAAATATTTATATGTACCGAGTTTGAAAGTAATCGGATACTCATTTCGCTCTTTATAACGTTGATTGTTTATTCAAAATTTTGACCCTTTGAGGGGGCGGTACCAGAAGGAGTGGACCGATATCTATCATCTTCGCGCTAGAACTTATATAGGAAGAAATATTAGGATGTTTGAAATTTGAAGGCAGTTGGATGATTATTTCACATTTTAAGAGAGTTCTAATTATTCATAAATGTTGACCCTTTGTGGGGGAGGTACCAGTGGGAGTGGACCGATATCTGCCATTTTTGCACCATATCCTGCGTTCGTAGAAATACTTATATGTGCCGAGTTTAAAAGTAATCGGATACTTATTTCGCGCTTTATGACATTGATTGCTTATTCAAAATTTTGACCTTTTGAGGGGAAGTTACCAGAAGGAGTGGACCGATATCTATCATCTTCACGCCAGAACTTATATAGGAAGAAATATTGGGATGTTTGAAATTTGAAGGCAATCTGATGCTTATTTCGTATTTTATGAGAGTTATAATTAGTCAAAAATTTTGACCGCTGTGGGGGAGGTACCAGTAGGAGTGGGCCGATATCTAAAATCTACATACCAGATCTTGTGTTCGAAGAAATATTTATATGTGCCGAGTTTGAAAGTAATCGGATACTCATTTCGCTCTTAATGGCCTTAATTGTTTATTCAAAATTTTGACCCTTTGAGGGGGAGGTACCAGAAGAAGTGAGCCGATATCTATCATCTTCACACCAGACCTTGTTTTAGTATTAATTTTAGGATATTTGAAACTTGAAGGCAATCGAATGCTTATTTCGCATTTTATGAGAATTGTAATTATTTAAAAATTTTGACCCTTTAAGGTGGAGGTACCATTAGGAGTGGACCGATATCTACCATCTTTGCACCACATCTTGTGTTAGTAAAAAATATTTAGATGTGCTGAATTTGAAAGTACTTGGATACCGATTTCCCGCTTTATGAACATTTTAGTTATTCGAAATTTTGACCCCTTTGTGGGTGAGGTACCAGAAGGAGTGGTTCGATATATCCCATTTTCACACCAGATATTGGCAGAAATATTGGGATGTGTGAAATTTGAAGAGGATCCGATGTTTCTTTCACACTTTATGATGCTGATGCTGATTTTGCGTATTTTAAGGGTTTCAATTCTTCATAATTTTGACTCTATGTGAGGGAGGTAATTGATGGAGAATGGAGAATAAAATCTGACAATCCTTTCTTGTTCCTTGATATAAATTATTTTCACCACCTGGTGGTGTAGGGTATAAAAATTCTACGGACCTAAAATGCATACCGACAAAATTATATCAGACAGACGGACATGGTTAAATCGACAATAAATCTTTTGCTGTTAAAAAATTCTATTTCTAGTGAAGTCTATAAAAATTAACAAAAAAAAAATCTAAAACCAAATCACCTTTCTTTGCAAATTCAAATGAAAACGCCAAAAATTACCGCAAACTTCCCTAACCTCAATCAGGAGTTGATATCCATCCTTCACCCAAATATTTTTTGCCAAGGGTAGAATATTTGTTAATTCCCTTAATTTACTTATTATAAAGTGTAATTATATTTTATTATTTAAATGTAAAGATTTCCACCATTTCAATAGCAGTTGCAACGATTGGTCGGTTGGTGGGATGTTACGCTTGTTGGCTGACTGGCTGGCTGGCTTCTTTATCAATTATTAAATATGCTTATCACAAATACGAATGGCAGCAATGAAATTGTTGGGGGAGGGGGAGAGGGGAGTAAATACATAATAAATATTAGCCTTATATTTTGTAGCAACATAGTTAGGGGTACCCACCCACCAAACAAACAAACATACCAACACAATTCGATTCTTTTGAAGTAGCGCCGATCTCGGTAATATTTATAATGAAGTTTACAAGTGTGTGTGTGGATGTTTGTTGGTTTTTGGGGAAATCATTTAATTTTCTGCTGCTACAACTACTACTGGCTTTATTTGGAACACAAACTACTCTTAGCAAATTGCAGTAGTAGTAGCAGCAACAGCAGCAGCAACGGCAATAATAAAATCGATAATAGAATTTGTAATAAATCCATAAAATTTGTGACGTTTTTGGTGGAATTTGGAGTGCAATAAAAAATAGATGAATGATTTTTGTTACTATAGGATAAGGCTCATACTCAGTCACCAGCGGAGAATTTTTAGAATATTTTCTTCTACATTTTTTCTTATATGACATGGAATTGTATGCGGAATTAGATCACTGTGGACAAAATAATCCATATTCAAGATGTCTTTATTAAGATTAACCCAATCACCTGAGTACGTTTTCGCCAATCGATAGTTACCAAATAAACATTTTAGGACAAGTCTCATACTCATTAACCAAAGGAGAATTTTTGTATTATCTTCGAAATTATTCCCATAGGAAATAGTATGGCATCTGGAAACCAAACCATTGCACTGAATCCATGCAAATCCATTTTCAAAATGTCTTTATCGGGTTTAAAGGAAAATCCAAATTAATAAGGTCGACAAAATGCAAATTAGCCAACAAAAATCATAGCGTGTTCCTTTCCGAACCTGAATTCTAATGCATTAAACTTGAGTTCTTTCAAGCATATCTTCGGGGGAGCATAGCTGATTGCTATCGAACGATTCCACAGGTTGCGGATAGGGGAAAGCCGAGTCGCTGACTGTCAGCGAAGCTGTGAAGAGAGTCTCGGCTTAATGCCTCGAGTGTAAATGATCCTTAGACTGACGAGACAATGTTTCGGTGTCCCTTAAATAGCCAAACATCTGGGCTGGGGTGTTATGCGATCACGTTTTTTTCAAAGTTGCAGATTTGCAGTCAGGGTACCGGCTGTATTCTAAGAGATCTTCGATCGTACCTGGGCGCCTCAACGAATATCAGGTTTAGTTACCATTCCTTCACGACAACGATGACAAAGCTAAACCTGCTCTCTTTCGGTGAATGTTGGTGTGAACGTCTTGGCACATTCAATCAACAAAGCAATGCGTTCAAAGTTTACCTCCAGCTCAAAGAGTATGACCTTAAGTCTGTGGACGAGTCCTTTCTTAACAGCCTGAGTGTCAATGATCCATAGACGACTGACGAAACGACGTTTCGGGCCCCCACATATAGAGAACCCCCTCCAAATTCTGGGTTGTTATGCGACCACGTTCCCATCAGGGGTGCAGGTTTGCAGTCAGGGTACCCACTGTATTCTAACGGATAACCAAACCAAAAAAACTCTCTTTCAACAAAGCTACAAGCATGAAGATTACCTCCGCCTCGGACTCGGACATTGATTCAGGATCGTCTGGGGCCAAAATTAGTAAAACGAAGCGGACGGGAAGCCTGGGAGACGACAAAGCTCAGCAAATAGCGATCCGAAAAATTATTGCGTATATGGGACCACAAAGACTAGGTCAACAAAGAATCTCTGCAGACTTTTGGGAAACCCCTCCAGCATCCGTTTTGTTTAAATGAATTTTCTATATTCAGGTTTAGTTACCGTTCCTTCACGTACCTTCACGACGATGATGATATATGGAAGAAAAATTATTAATACCAGCCCCAAAAAAAAAAAAAAAAACCAACTCTCTTTCGGTTGACTTTGGTGTTATTAAGTTTACCTCCGCCTCAACATGAAGATCGAACTCGGATATTGATTCAGGATCGTCTGTTAACAGTAGTAGTAGGACGAAACGGACGGGAAGCCTGGGAGACGATAATGATCAGCAGATAGCAATCCGACAAATTATGGCGGATATAAGACCGTCAAGGTTAAGTCAACACAGAATCTCTGTAGACTTCTGGAAAACCCCTCTTGTCTCATTTTGTTTGAATGAATATTCCACATTTAGTTATTTAGAGCTTTATCCTTTTCTAGGCCGTAGTATTCCCCTGCTTTGGGAGAGAGACTAAAAAGTAAAAAAATTATAGGCACAGCGTGTATTTTCCAAACATGAATGTTAATTTACAGGAGTACTTTCAAGCCTTCCTGTTCGGGAAGTACACTCCTTTCATTTGTACAGGGTTGCCCATATTCGACGGACCCATGTTTTGCTATGCGACTTGTGTGCGGTGGAGCGTAGAATATTTTGACTTTGAGAGGTCTATCATGCCACCCTCCCAACTTCCGATGTTTGTTGGACAAGAAAATTAATCCTATTAGCATGTGAGACGCTATAAATTCAAGTTTTTTTTTTTTAATGAATTTCCAATATTTAGCCCTTTGAGAGGGGAGATTTTTCCTACCACGTCATAGCTTTCTTCCTGGCTTGGGGTAGATTTGTACTATCATAGCGAACTGTTGCGTAAGTAGACATATTGAATTTGTGGAAAATTCCTTGAGAGATTTATCATGTCATCCCTCTGACTTGCGAAATTTTTTGGGCCAGGACCTTTACTCTATTAGATAGTCAGACGCTTCTTTTTGGTTTTTTGGATAGGTTGGCTTGGTTTTCTTGACCAAATTTTCATCTTCATTTCATGTTGGACAAGTGAGATTTTTCTAGATTCCTAAAAGACAATGAATTATTAGTAAAAATACTTCAGGAAATGTTTCATATCATTTCTTACCGAAAACCCTTATTTCGTCTTATTTTCTTAGAAAAATTATTTTCCTTTTGATTTATTTTTCCCTTTCATTGAGAATACCATCTTGCCCTCAAATTTTTAAATATAACAGGACATTTGAAGTCCCCACGAAGTTTCCTGCAAGTTGCTGTTCCAATTGTCACCCAACTTGTAGCAATTTTCTATATCCCATTCTTGGCACAGTCTGAGAGCTGTTTGAAATTGTCCAGACAGTCAACATCTTCAAAATCACTTAATTACACTTCTCGTCTAATGCGACTCAACGCCTTGAGTTGCAGCATTTTTTTGGAGCAACTTTGCATTTTTTTTTTTTTTGCTCTCCACCGCTTCCACATGCCATCCATCGTCTTAACAAATTGTTGACCTTAGACACATGAATATAATGAGCAAACACTCTTCCTCCTCCTGTTGGCTGACACTTGTCATCGCCTGCGAGAGAGAGCGAGTCTGGTGTAAGTGGCACAAAACTGTCTGGATTACATTTCATCATCAGCATCACAGCCATCAGATTTCATTGTCTTTTCACATGGAAAAACTAGACCTCATTTATGGCCAAAGAATCAGTCAGCAGAGCTCAGCAAAGGAGAAAAAAACAGAAACCTCAAAGCGGCAAAAAATATATGAAAACATGTCTGGCAGCAGCACAAAAATTCCACAAATGACACAATTCTTTTGGTCCTCGCCCGTTCCTCGCTCGCTTCCCCCGGAGGAGCCCTTGTCATTTCTTTTGCCACTTGTTATTTTTTTGTTACAAGTCAAAGCAAGCTTTTTGGAGTAAGTGCGTCTGGCTGGTGGTGGTGATGCTGCTGCTGCCGCTGCCACTGCCACTTGTACAATAATAATAACATGACAAACAGCGGCAGCAACAGCAACAACAAAAAGGAACGTAACATTCATTCCATGTGACCCAAATTTACTGTCTGGCTCAGTTAGTAAAGCATGGCCAGACACATCCTCCCAACGGCATGAATATGCATCATACGAAACCAGCCACCCACAAAGGAACAGGGCCCATCAAACAAAGTAGGTACCCAACACCCGGCCATGCACTTACTCACTACTGGCTGGCCTGCTGGCAGGCAGGCGGGTTGGTTGGCTGCTTTGTGCATTCCATCTTTTTTTCATTTCATTTCAAATAAACCGACGCAGACATCCGCAGACGTCTACTTTGCAAAAATTATACACTAAATCCTCTTTGGACCTGCCACTGCTATTGCTGTTAAACACCACCACCAATGTTGGGAGGCGAGAAAAAATCGATGCCAGAGGATGAGGAAGCATTAACGATGTCGTAGTTATGAGCCAAGAGCTTCAGAGCACAGCTGACTGGCTGGCTGTTTAGACTATTTAGTGGAGGGTTTTTTTTATGGGGTTACATGACTGGCTGGGAGGAGAACACAACATGTGACTGTGTGACATGAACTCAGAAGAATATTACAACAGCAGTAACAATCACACCTACATCAAGGAGGAACACGGAAAAAGCAGAGATTTAAAACAGCCACCCACCACAAGGCAACAACATCTTGTCTGGAGGGGCATAAGGAATCAAATAATAACAATAATAGGGGATTCCATTTAAATTCTAGATAATCTCATAAGACCTCTAAGAAGGGCCCCAAAATAACAACAACAAAACAAACAATTCAAGAAAAGACAAGCGGATTGAAAACAGCATTTTTTCCTCGGAAACCCCAACAAACTTTTTTTCTTTCCTAAGAGGAAGTTATACAAAAACACGAAGGGCGGCCAACACACAAGAATAGAACAAGACGAGGAACAAAACGAAGAAGTTTGGGGAATGGAGATGAAAAATACACCTTAAAAGGAACAACAAATAAAAACAAATGTCAAGATAAAAATAAACAAAAAGTAAGGCAACAACAAATATCTTGAAATCAATGGGCCAGACACACAGAGAGAGCGACAGACAAACAACAGGGGTGCTCAAAACCGTGTTCTAGAACATGAAGAGAAAAAAGAGATAATTTAAGAGAAAATTAAAATTCTGTTTTTCTTTATATTTTACGATTCAATTTAATTTTTTTTAACATGAATGTTTGCCTAAATAATTTATAAAGCAAATGGATAAAAAATATTTGTATAAATAATGACTTAACACTGTTTTGTTCTTGATTTAAATAAGCAAAGAGAAATTTGACTGAAAAGAGATATTTCTTTTTGAGCACCCCTGCAAACAACAAAACAGCCCATGCAATGAGAGCATAGAAACTTTGAAACACAATGCACATACCTTTATTTTCAAAATCCCAACAGATTTCAATAACAATTAACTACTTTCTTCAACACTTTACACAATTTTAAACACGAAAAAGAACATTCACGACGACAATTCACGTTCTTGCCGCACTCTCTTTTCTTGTTATTTTGGCTTCTCTCACAATTTAATGGAAATGTGGTGACTGACTTTTGTTGATTTTGTTTTGTCCAGACATTCTTATTTGTCTTCTCTTGAGTGTGGCGCTGTGTCTACGACCAATGTTGTTGCGGCATTTTGTTTTTTCACTTTATTAATTTCTTTCCTTTATTGCTTAAATATTCTACAAATTGCTTGAAATTCATTTATTTATTTATATTTCTTTAAGCTCTCTATCTCTCTTTAACACTGAGGCTGCAAAACTGCATTTGACATTATTATTGCTTTTATTATTGTAATTCTCTTTCAATCAAGAGCAGCCATTAAAAACCGCCTTCTAACTTTTTAACTCATGCTCTTCTGGCACACACAACAAAAACACAACACAGAATGTCAATTCGATTTGTTTTTCTTTGTATTTTTTTCGATTTGTTTTAACGCATCAAGTTATGGCATATTAATTAATCGCGACGTTTTCTGTATTATATTTCTTTACGTAAATAAATAAATTATCAAAAAACAGCGCGCGCGATCGTCTCGTAGCAAGTAATTCACACACGAACCGTCCGCCACAAAAAATATTTTACGAATGAAACCCTCTCTGAGTTGTGCTGCTTTTTGTTATGCCACAGCATTCATGGGGGAATGGTAGCCAACTAGAACGATTTCATGTAAATGGCAACACCATCGAAACGATTATATCGATTTATCGGCTGAGAACATGAAAATAGAAGTGAAAAGGGAATTAAACAACTAAAATGAAGTTAAACAAACAAGGAGATATATGAAATTAAAATTATTAAGAAAATTAATTATAAAAAGAAGATTAAATTCAACAAAAATGTTAAAAAGTCAATAACAATTTAAAAAAGTGTGTGACAAAAGTGAATAACAGAAAGAAAACACCCTTGCTGATGATGCACCATTGCCCTTCTTCGGTATAAAAATAGCTCCGTAAAGTTTACTCGGTCAAATTGTATAATAATCTAAAGTTTCACATGCAAATTTCCTTGCCAAATAAAAAATAATCATAAATAGCGGAAATTAATAAAAATCTGCACTAAATTCTGTGAGTTATGACATATGTGTAACAAATTTGTCGCGATATTATATTTTTAAAAAACAGCATTAATTTCAAGAAAATATAAAAAATAAATTAAATAATTTTGGCTTAACTCTAATTTAGTAAAAACTCTTCATTTTTTCATTTTCATTTTCCACTGGTAGGTATTTTTACCCTAATTCCGGGAAAAAATGTAGAGTTTTTACTAAATTAGAGTTGTTCTCTCTGAATTCTCTGAATATTCAATCCTCATTTCGTATTCAATATATTTTTTTAAATTTTGTATTTGTCCAGAAGGGAGCAAATTTATCGATAAAAAAATAATTCAATTACACCACATAATGTTCACATTCTTAAACCGTTTTCTCTTTATGATATCGAAAAATATTGCAAAAATAGTATATTCTTGAAGGTCCACATATGGTTTGTTCCTGCAAGAATTTACTAGCTTTGCAATTTTCTTCGATATCATAAAGGAAATATCGGTTATCGTAATAAAAATTTTTACATTCTTGCAGTTCTGGAACGAACCATTAGACAAGTAGCCGGTTCCAAAAATATAAGAGTGAGTGAGTTCACTTTGGCAATTTTTACCGTTCTCTTTTGAACTTGCTTCATGCATTTATAGGACTGTTCCAGAACTGCAAAAATTTAAAATTTTTACTACGATAATAGATTTTCCTTTATGATATCATACAAAATTACAAATCTAGTAGATTCTTGCAGGTTCTGGAACAGAACATATACAAACCGTTTTTCAGCTATTTTCGCATTTCACCATTTATTTTATTTTTGTCATTGTTATTTATATTTTTATGAAAATAAGAAGACAAAAAGTACTAGTAGTTTTTGCCCATTTATTTTTTCCAATAAAAACAGTTTTGGCAATAATTTTTATATAAAATTAAGTGAAAAGATTAGTTTTTATTTATTGTCAAAAAGGAAAAATCTGGATTAACAATTTACATTTAATCTAATGCATTATTTCCTGAAAACGTCATTAAAAGCCGTTCAGACGCTCTCTCCAGTCATTATCATTGTTTTCCACTCACCACAATACAACACTTGCTGGAATAAAACATAACTATCGATAACCACCATCGATATCTTTAAAATGGCTACCCGAAAAAACACAACCCTGTACATGTTTTCCATCTCCAATTTTTCCATGATTTTAGTATTATTCTCGAGTCAACCAGGTTATAGAGCATAATCATGCAAGGTCTCAGTTTCAAATCCATCAAGAAGAATCCAGCCCTTATCCCACTCTATGTGTGTGTCGGCGCTGGAGCTTTGGCTTCTGCTTTGTACACCCTCCGTTTGGCCACCAGGAATCCCGATGTAACATGGAATCGTTCCTCCAACCCCGAACCATGGGAAGAATACAAAGAAAAGCAATATAAGTTCTACTCTCCCATCAGAGATTACAGCAAAATCAAGTCTCCAGCTCCCAACTATGAGGAATAGATTGCATTTGCGTTGAGTTAATTTAAATAATTAAAAATGTTTGTGATTAATTAAAAAAAGGAGAGTAATAAACGAATGTTTAGTAACATTACGAACGAAAATATGCTGTCTTGTATTTGTGTTTGTATTGGTGTCAGTGGTGTCACACGTCTGCGATGTTTATATAATCTCAATGCTTCCAAGACGTAAATGAGAAAATATGGAAGAATTGGAGACACATTTGTTGAAAATTTGTGGTAAAAATGTTTTCTGTGTTTATTAAGTGTTGTTTAGTCCAAATGTAGTCCGGAATTAAAAGAGAAATTATTACATAACCAAAAAAATTGTTGGGCAAAAATGTCAAATTGTGTTGTTTGTGCGATTGTTGCCAACTTTGACCAGTTGGAAAAATGCTTGCAAATAAGTTAGATTGAGCCACTCCTCGCCACTGTAAAAGGTGTTGATGTATGTGGTTCAATACTGGGTAAAGCAGGGGGCCACATTATCGTGACGTAAAGGGCTTATATGGTACACATTTTTCAACCAAGTCCTATCCAGATTTATACCAATTCCTAGATGCTAATACAAATTCTGAAATTACCCATAGGGTGGTTTTTGATCTCGTTAAGGCTAAAATTCTATATTAAAGTTAGGAATTGTGGTCCAGGTACTCAATTCTTGATCTATGAAATGAAACGTTTGTAAAGGGAAGAAATGCGCTGTTTCAGAACCTGCTGGAATATGCTATGTAATTTCCAAAGTCTAAAAACCGGGTAAAGTCTCCCGGTAAGAAGTGTTTTTGTGTAGGAAGGTCCAAAGAAAAAGCGTTATAAAACTATTTTTCCATAAGTTTTCTCTTTGAAAAAAAACAATTTTGCATAATATATAGTAAATGTTTTAATTTCTGTTCAATACCCAAATATATCAATATTTTTAATAAGCCAGAATTAAGGAGGCATTGATGACAAGTTGCAACCCTCTAATACACCAAAAAGATCTTTGTGGTAAACATTTGAAGTAATTCTGAATTTAATGTCTTAATATACTAAGAAATCCAATAAGAGAAATTAAAGTTGACTATAAATTGCCAATATAACTTATCGCAGTTTTGCTGTTTCAACAATTGGCATGCGTTGATACTCAAGTATCGCTACATTTATTTTCGCTTTGCGTTACGTATCGCCAATAATTGTGTTCACATTTCCCTTACCAACACTATTTTCTCATCAATAGTTTTAACTCCGTTAAAAGTCGACTTATAGATTCCTAGTTTATTAAGATTGATTTTGTGCACCGCAATTTCTTGTATTAAATTTTGATACCAACTATTAATTGAATTAATTGGTACTTTTAATTACCATTTGCATTCAAATTTCTTTTCTATCTGTTTCTGTGTAAGTTTTGCGTTAGGCTGTCGTATAATTTCCCCTGTTCCTTAGACAAAATTAGATTTTTAGATCCCTAGTACGTTTTTGTGGGTTTTGGCGCGTGTTTATGATTATTTCTTTGGTTCTTTGTGCATTAATTGAGATTATATCTATTAAATAATTATCAGTTAACAAATCTGGAAGCATCATTTGTGAAATATGTTAAAAATTAATTAATTGATACATTTAGTTCCACGGTACTAGTAATCAATTTGTTTGTATAGTTTGGAACGTTTTTAATTTTGATTTGCCAAGATGGCGCAAAACAGTCAAAAGGTTGCAAACTTTTGAAAGGGCGCGTAGTGGGTTGTGGTGTTTTTGTAAATAAATATAGTGTAATCATATATCTTTAAACTAAAATTCTCATACTGTAGCTACGCAATACCAATTAATTAACAATGCCTCGCGCCGGACCTCGTTCAAAAGTCAAAGAAAGTGTAATTGTTCAACGTCGAGGTGGTAGTCTGGGAGAAAGCAGCACAAGTAGTCAGGATGAGGACGATACAAATATAAATCAGACAACAACAGATGATAGTGCCACTGCATCACCCCGGCGAAGTCAGCGACGTAACACAATGTTGCCAGTTAAACCAAGCGATGGATTTCGTACGCCAGATAGTGATGTAAATGCAACGGATTATGGTTTGGAGTTTACTACCAGCCACATACAGAATCCATCGCCCAGACGTTGTTCTACCCTGAGAACTGGTAGTTCTCAAGAGGAGTCGGCAACAAGAAAACGCGTGGAGCCTGGCGATAAGGAGAATAGTGTAGTTGGCAGTGAGCAAGGTAAGTTAATAGGAGTTTAAAATTTTAATTTACAATTCATTTATGATTTCTTTGCAGATACAACAACACCAACAACGACGGCGGCAGCATCTAAGGCCAAACAGAAATCTGCCAAATCAAAGGGAAGGGGAAAACCTTTGGCCGAAAAGCAAAATGTTCAAAATGCCTCAACAGAATCAGTCTCACAGGAAGACACTATTAGCAGAAAAGAAACAGAGGCAAGGGATGCTCATGAAGAAAGTGAAAATAGAAGAATAGAACCTGCCAGTACGCTGAAAAGTAAGTTGAGGGAATTCTACTACAAAGTCCCACCTCTAAATATGGTTTGAAATGGAAAAATCAGCGATACAGTCTGGTTCGGCCAATTCCAGTTCATTAAGCTCGCCTCGAAAAGAGAAGCAACCAATAAAATCATCAACATGTGATATTCGCCCTAACAAGAAAAATGTTCAATATAGCAAAAAGAACCAGTCACCACCCACCAAATCGTAAAAAAAAATTGTGAAAAATTTTTGATTTTCCCTTTAGGAGTCTCTTGGCGCTTACCACCTTCAACCACTGATTGTTGAGTAGTTCCTTCTACAGACTATAAACAACACTGAGAAACTTATTTGTTTGATATCCTTAATTAACCTTTGTTTTTTTCCTTTACAGAACCCCCTAAAAATTCGGCACCAAAGAAGACGACGACCATAGCCAAAAACAAAAAAGCCACCAAACCCGCGCAACAAGATCCGCAATCATCTGTGGCACAAGAACCATCTGCGGCAGCGCCCCCACCACCTCCAACTACGAAAAAATCACGAAAACAAAAAACTCCCATACAAAAGGATCTAATGTTCTTGCGGGATGTACAAAAATTACAAAATCGTACTAATTTCTTAATACCACGTTTACCATTTGCAAGGCTTATACGTGAACTTATATTGGATTCATCGCGGCAAGTGGATCGAATCACCCCAACGGCATTGGAAGCATTGCAAGCTGCCTCCGAAATGTATGTAACACAACGGCTACAGGATGCCTATATGTTGACACTGCATAGGGGACGTGTAACACTGGATGTTCGCGATATGGAATTGATTAACTTTTTGAAAATGCATATTTGAAGGAGGGAAGAAAAAACACTCATATCGGATAGCCAAATTAGCATTTACAAATATGAAATTTTGAATATCTTACTTTTTTATTTAAAGATAGTTAACACGTAGAATATTGTTCTGTTCCAGAACCTGCAAGAATCTACTGGTTTTAATTTTTTTTCGATAGCATAAAGAGAAAATCGCTTATCCTAGTAAACATTTTTATATTCTTGTAGTTCTAGAACAAAGCAATATGTTCCATAATTTATTTTCATTGCCCTAACCTTTTTTATTTATACGATTTTTTGTGTTAAAGGTATTGTTAAAGTTACTAATTTTAAAAAAAAAGTATTGTTAAAGTTTTTTTTTTTTTATTTTAGAATGTGAAGTCTAAAACAGTTCAATAAATGTTAACAACTCGAAACAAATTGTATTAAAATAGTAAGACAAAAATTCTTTGGATCCAAGTCGTGTTTTGATCTGTGTCCCCGAGGTAATTTCACTGTAAGGAAATTGAGTTAAGAATTCCCAGAGAAGTTAAATCTATTATTTACTTCAAAAAAATGGAAAAAAAAGGACACAGGTTCTTTCATTAGATATCGAAAACATATCGATCGAAAATATGGCGTTTGACTTTGTTGCAGTTTTTTTATCTCACCCTGTAATTTTTATCTACTTAAATCATCTATCCCACCACCTTGTTTTTCACTATTCCAAATATTTTTTTAAACCATTTTCGTTTACATTGAATTGATATTTATTTCTTTTTTTGTTTGTTTTCATCAATAATTTCCATTGTCTAAACTAAAAAATAGTTAATTTCCTTTTGTTATTTTAAATATTTTTTTTTTAATTTTTCATATTTATTTGGTTTTTTGTTAATCCGTTTTTCAATTATCATCTTCGAATTAATTCTTTTATAATAGGTATATATTCTATTCCTTGACACACACAAATATCGTACATATACAACAGAAAAAAACTCAAAAGCAAAAAAAAATTCTAATAATAAATTCTATTTAAAATTAAAAAATGAAAAAAAAAAATAGAAATTATAAAAGAAACAATAAGAAATAGTTGTAGAAGGAACCACCGTCTAACATAAATAATAATTCTCAGAGTCCATTTAAATCATCTTTGGCCTCCCACAGATGATTGTTGGTGCTGTTGTTTGTCTTCTTTTTGTGTTTGACTGGGGGGTTAGTACCTTGATTAACAGTTTGTACGTTTTTGGTTTTAGCCGAGGAGGCTGATGAAGCGCCGCCGCCGCTCTGTTGTTGCTGCTGATGGCCTCCCTTGGACGATGTTTGAGCTTTTACACCCTTGGGTGGATAGGGTATGGTGAAGAGTTGGATATTCAAGTGGGCACAGATTTCCAGGCAAACCTTAAATATAAATTCGGGAAATTTTTTAAATATATTCCCACACTAAAAAAATGTAGCGCAGTAGTAACATACCTGCGAACAGTATCTCACAAGATCTTGTGTACCCCAAATCAGTGTAAACCAAAGCAACCAAATTTCTGGCACCACACAATTGAAATATTGATTCAGGAACAATAAACCGGGTCCCAGTAAAGACCAATCCAGGTATTCCATTTCAGCCTTGGTCATGTGGGCAATCTGAGGACAAAGACAAAAAAATAATAATCAATATTTTTGTGCAGAGTTCCTTTTGGGTCCTTCCACTTACCACAAGTTTATTCGTCACTTTTGCTGCCACCATGCCAAAGGCAATAATGTAAAGGGCTGAGTGTTCGGTGAAAATATTTTCAGGCGATTTTTGAGCAATTATAAATGCGGGTAGCACTACCAAGGTCAATGGTATGCTGGGTGACAAGACACTGGTACCCTATTTTGGATATTTTCGATATTTCCGAAGGGGACCGTTGAAATATTGAAAAAAGTAAATATTAGTAAAAATGGAAAATTGTATGGAAAAAATATGTAAATATGTATGAAAACAAAATGAAAGGAATTAAAAAAAGCAGACGATTTTATATTTTTGAAGAAAATATTTTTAATTTTTTTTTCAATATTTTTTTTTTATTTTTTAATTTTTTTATTTTCTATTTGTTTAATTTTATATTTAATTTTTTTTTATTTTTAAATTGTTTTTTTAAAAAAGTGTCTCTTTGGGGTGGTATACTCCAGACACACACAATTATTATTTTTAGTTTTTTTTTTTGGCAGAAATAAGACTTTTTTAATTAAAAGGAGTTTTTGCCAAGCTATCTAAAAATTGTTTTGAACAATTTAAAGTAAAATGATTTAATTTTTTTTTCAAAATCACGGGATTCATTATTTGGATACGCTTTTTTTAAACTGTACCAAAAAAATATATGTATAATTTTTTTGAAGAAAATTTTTCAATTTATTCCTTCATTTTATTTTCAATTCAATGCAATCTCCAAATAAATGAAATATTTTCTTCAAATACTATGGGTTACAAAAAAATATTTCATTTAAAGGGATTTGATTTTGCGCAATAGTAATTGACAAGCATGTTGTAATACATCTTTTGGCTTTAATTATTGTTTATAGGTGAATTTTCATATGCAACTGGGGGATAGAGAAAGACAGAGAACTCGAGATAGAAAAGGTAGTCGAAAAAGAAAAGAAAAATGACTTCGAACGTAGGAAAACATAAATTAACACTACTATACAAAGATGAGGCTATGAGGAGAGTGGGACAACACAAAATTTCCGATGGAAGTATATTGGTAACCTATAATTAGACAATTATACCACCAACCCATGTTAGGTTAGACACATACACAAAATACAATATGATATCGTTTTGTTAGTAACTAATGTTATAGACAAATGAAAAAGTGTTGGTTTTTTCTTAGAGTAGAAGGGTTCGTCTTAATATCTAATGTATGTTTTTGAGGTTCCGAATTGCTTTCATAGGTTAACATAAGAATGTTATGCAGGGTTTATACGACATCGTATTATTTGTTTAGTATCATTAATTTGCATTTGTTGTAACAATATATGAATACTTTTTATATTTTTTTCTAATACAACATTTTCAAATTTCCTCTAAAATCATTTAATTCAAGGTGTTACCAAACAACTTTATGTTAACGTTATCATTTCAATGTGAATTAATAAATCATATCACAATTATTTCCTATTTATGCATTTATACACATATTCCTTGTACATTCACATTCTTTTTGTCTCCGCAATTCGAAAACCCCTATGCTTTTTTGCAATGACATTTTATGAGGTGGCTATATGAGACAATTATTCTACATTTTTTATAAACTAATCTACAATAGACCAAAATACAACTGGTATTGTTTAAAATAGCTTAATGATAAATTAAGAGACTTAGTTTACAAAACAACAAAATAAATTAATATATAAAAAATTGTTATATATACAAATAAAATATTTTGCAATATGATGCGTTAAATAAACATGTGTGAACGGTGTATTATTTCTTCAGGTGTAACTGTGCAAAAAAAAAAAAAAAAAACAAATAAACAGGAAACGGGAAGCGGGAATTCACAAGGAAGAGAGGGAGAGAGAGGGAATATGTTTTCATATATGAAAACATAAACACAGGTGTGAAATCTCAAGTATAACCAATACACTCTTTGCTGAAGAGAAATGCTTTGGACATGGGAGTCATTTGATTTGTAAAGGGGGGAACAAAAATATATGCTCTGTTAATGGCTGTGACATGGAAGAGTCAGAGGAAAGGAGAAAGAACGAATTTGTGTAGTGTATGAGTGATTTGCATGATTTTTTGTATGCAATTTCTTCTCATTATGTGTTGAGAGAGATAGAGAAATTGGCACATTAATGCAGTAATGCTCACACATATGTAATGTATGTCCCTTGCGTTTGCAAAATAACGGTAGAATAATGAAGAAAGAAGATGGGTGTTTTGTTTTGTTCATGTTACAAAAAAAACGGACACTGGTGAGCAGGGTTGCATTTAGGGGCCTATCAATGTTTTTTCTATTATGAAATATACAAAATTATGATTGATTTCTTGGATTAAACAACACAAAAAAGTGAGTGCAATTGGCAAAATTAAAAATAAGAAATTAATTGATTAATAAAACATAATAGTGTTGTTGGTAACATGTTATATTCACATTTGGCAGTGAGTTGAAATGTTGCTTGCTTTGGTGCTACACGAAAATGCACGAATATTTTTTGTCTCACTAAATTAATTTCAAACATACATTCTAATTAGAAAAAAATAATATTGATTTAAATGCGACAACGACAAAATTGTAACTCAATGAACTTAAATTGATTTTAAATGCATGAAAACAAAAGAAGTAAACTCATTCTTACAGCCACTGAAGATCCATTTTTGCCACATCCTTCAGTTGTGATTACTTTCGCGTAACGTAATGCTAACAAAATATCAATGCCAAAGGCAAAATATAAGGGCAGTATGCGCAACTCACAGCCAATAAATGACAGCTATTGTAACCACATTTGCAGTAATCAATCAAAAAAATAAACGTTGTGATCGAAAACGAGATGAGTTTGTTGTTGTTTATTTTTCGGTTTTCGTTTTTTTTAAGAAAATAAAGGATATGAATAGATTTGTTGTTGTAAATAAATATTTGTATACGTTTTAAATAAATATAATTACTAATAAATAAATGTAATTGAAACTTAAGAGTGAAAAAAAAACAAATTTCCAGAAGACTTAAAACCAAATCGAAATTCTTAAATTTAAGGGGCCTAGTATATAATTAGGATGTCTACATATTCCTAATAAAAATGCAGGGGAGCTTAATAAGTCGTTGCAAAGAAAACAAAAATTCGAGGGCGTAATAACACATACTTCATAATTTGCATAGGTGATTTGAATTCTATAAATAAATATAAACTTAAAAATAATGCTATCCCCTATAAATAAGATGAAACCCAATGAATTTCGAATTCGATGTGAATTTCAATGTAAAAAAAAAAAACTCAAAACCCATATTAAAAACATGATTTTAGGTTGTGAGATGGAGATTGTGATTATTTCAGCAAACAAACCGTGAGCAGCAAAATGGCCATAAACAATATAAATAAACCCATTGGCATGATGAATATCAAATGCGGATCTTAAATAACAAAAGGGAGCTAAATCAACCATAAAACCAAACGGTGCCTTAAAAAAAGTTAAATTAAAATTAACTCTGACTCTAGTTTATTATTATTTCCAAACTGACAAGCAGCAATGGCCATATCCCAAATTTTAAACTTATTTAAATACCAAATATTACCAAAAACCCCTCTTTTGGAGGGCCTAGGGTAGGAGATAACACCAATTATGGACCAATGAAAAACAGAAAAAGTAGGAAAAAACCCAAAAATAAATGGTTGGTGCTGCATAGAAATGTTAGAAAACAAAAAACCAACCAACCAATCACTGTTAAGGGGATGGTGAATAAAATATGTTGTTGAACAATTGGAGGTTAGGTCATAAAAAATGTTTCGATTTTTTTTTGGGGTGGGGGCATATTTTTTTTAGTATTGAGTGGTTACTGTGTTAGAATATTTTAAAGCCATTTCTTAGAAATTAAAACAATTTTGTTTTTAATTTTTTTTTTTTGGTTTTAAAATGTTAAAGTGAAATGCTTACAGCAACTGAAGAGCCATTCTTGCCACTGCCGCCTTGTAGAAACATTTTGCAAAAATTCACAAAATTTACGAAATAACAAATGGTAATACCAAACAATATGATATTATTTTTATTGTAGCCAATAATGGGTAGCTATAAGAGAAACGGGGGGAAATTTTGGGGATGAAAATTTATATATAATAATAATTTTTTGGGAAAAATAATAAATAATTAATTATTTATAAAGCTATATTGTTTAAGTCACATAATAGTTCCAGGGTTTTGTTTTATTATGGTTTTACATAAACATATGAGGACACAAAGAATATATATTTGTTTAAATAATGTTACATACATATATGTATTCTAACATAAATACAAACTATTTCCAGTCATTTTAGCAAAACACAGATATTCTAATTTTAATAATTTGCATTTACGTCGCCCTCAGAAAAAGTCCAAGTCATTTCTGAGATTAATTTAATATTTTGACTTCATTTAAAAAAAGTCTAAAACATTTCTGAGTCTAATTTAAATTTGTCTTTTTTATTTTAAACTGGAATTAGCCGTTTCATGGAATGTCATTGTTATTAACGTATGGCACAAAGGTTAATGATATGTATATTTTAATATTATACGGGTAGGGTTCATAAGCTTTTACAGGTTTCATTTAGAAAATTGAATAAAGTTACCATAAAAAATTAAACGATTTTTTTGTGGATTCTTTTTCGAATAAAAAATTATTTCCCATAAAAAAATGAAAAAAAATTAATTTCTTTTTTTTTATCTAATATCGAATGTGTAGAAAAAAACTGATAGAGATTTTACTGAAATGTAAAATATATAAATTTTGAAAAAAAAGGTATCAGTATTAAATTGACCGGACCTACTTCATAAGACACTAGGAACACTGACTCTAGGAATTTTAGCAGATCACTTTAATGTAGGCTATATAAGGATGAAGAAGAGCCTGAGATGATTTAAGAACTTTTGTGACACTATTACAAAATTATTTAGGATTGTAGGATAAAAGATTTTTGGGTACCAGGTATACCCCAGAGCACATCTAAAATCAAAAAAAAGGCTAAAATCATCAAAACACCGAATATAGGGATGTACTGATATATGGGGCCTATACGAAGACGTGGAACTGCACACACAATTTTCTGTCATAGGCTGTAGTATCCATTACAAACTTCCAATTCCAAATATAAAACAATTCCGGTGAATTATGTTACTAAAATCATCAAAATACCGAATATCGGAAGGTGTCGTTATATGGGGGCTATACGATATCACGGACCTATACAGGCAACAATCTTCCAGGGGGTTAAGTACTTAAAAGGAACTCCTTGTGTTTTTTTTTTTTCAGACAATTTCATTAAAAAATGTGGCTAAAATCATCAAAATACCGAATATTGGGAGGTACAGTTATATGGGGGCTATACGATATCGTGGACCTATACAGACAATTTTCTTCCACGGGGTAAATTACTCAGAAAGAACTCCCTGTATTTATTTTCAGACAATTTCATTGAAAAATGTGGCTAACATCATCAAGATACCGAATATCGGGGGGTACTGTTGTATGGGGGCTATACGATATCGTGAACCTATATGCACAATTTTCTTCCAGGGGTTAAACTAGTCAGAAAGAACTTCTTGTGTGGATTTTCAGACAATTCCATTGAAAAATGTAGCTAAAATCCTGAAAATACCGAATATCAGGGGGTACCGTTGTATGGGGGCTATACGATATCGTGGACCTATATAAACAATTTTCTTCCAGGGAGTAAATTACTCAGAAAGAACTCCTTATGTGCATTTTCAGACAATTCCATTGGAAAATGCGGTTAAAATCATAAAAATACCGAATATCGGGGGGTACTGTTGTATGGGCACTATACGATATCGTTGACCTGTATAAACATTTCTCTTCCAGGGAGTTATGTACTCATAAGGAACTTCTTGTATTTATTTGCAGACAATTTCATTGAAAAATGTGTCTAAAATTATTAAAATACCGAATATCGGTTGTATCATTGTATGGGGGATATACGATATCGTGGACCGATATAGTCCATCTTTGAACTTGACCTGCCTAGAGATAAAAGACTGATTTGTGCAAAGTTTTAGCTTCCTATCTTTATTCGTTTTGACTCTAGCGTGATTGTAACAGGCGGACGGACGGACAGGGCTAAATGGTTTTAGAATTATACGCTGATATATATACTTTGCGGAATGACGAACTTAATATACCCTCCATACTATGTATGGTGGAGGGTATAAAAACGTTGCTCTGAAGGCAGTCTGTCTGCCCGTTAACCCGTTAAATATCCTACATAGCCTCTCATTATCTTTAAAGGATTTTTGTTGTCGTCAAGCTTATGTGCGCAACTCCTCCTCACAGTGCATATAAGTTCCTGTTACCTTCTCCATCTTTGAAGCATCAATGAATATGGTTAGGCACTTCCGAAGGATATCTTCAAAGTAGACATTTTTAATTTTAATTGGCAATTAACAAAAATTACATGTTTTTAGCAAAACAAAAGTAGAATCTCTAACAGTTTTTTTCAATTCTTTCCCTTCCAAAAATAAGTTAACCATAAAACCAAGAATTAGTATTGTAAAAAACACAACTACAATTATACAATAATATTAATACATGTTAAAACTATTATACTAAAACTATATATATGTACGGAGGAGGGTGGTAGGTAACCATGTAGAACATTTAATATACAATGAGAAAAGGCAGAACTTTCAAAACTATGTTGTTTCTGTTCAATGTTCAAGAGGACTTGTTGTTTCATTCTTTTCCCAAAGGGATTATTTTATCACAAAACACAAAAGAATACTATTTAAACCTTAATGAGGTGGGCGGGGCCAAAAAAACACTGGCCAAAAGGGATAGGGATTCCAAAAAGGAGAGCTGGGAAATCACTACTTAGATTAAAGGAATAAAGGGAGTTTATTTCAAGTCAAACTAATAGCAAAGGATATTTGTTTTGATATAAATAAAAAATAGCAAAAAAGGGGGAAGGAAGAAATGTTTTTTCCTTTCAAAAGGAAAAAAAAGAGATACAAAGAAATTCTCCAGTAAAAACTTTAGCCAAAAGAGGATATAACCAAAACATTGATGATGAACATTTCAAAGCTCGGTAAATATTGTTTGTTTTGTTGGTAGTTGGGTGTTTTTGTTGTTGTTTGTTTGTATGTTTTTGTTTTTCAAAAGCATATAACTTACGGCAACAGTTGAGCCATTTTTGCCCACACCTCCGGCCAATATAACAGTGAATATATATCGCAATGACCATAAACCACAAACTAATGTCATTAGGCATAAGGTGGACCATAATTCTAAATTACCGAATATCTAAAGGAATATATAATAATGGGAGGGTAGTAGGAGTTTTATATTTTTAGATATAAATATAGGAGGTAAATATATCAATATATATATATGGAGGAGGGTAACATATAAATAACAACCCATTGTAACATTTGTGCGTGTGTTTTTACTCAAATAAGTTTTAGCAACAATCTTTTTTCCAAAAAATAATAATAATTATGATAAAAATAACAAATATTTGTTCCAAAAAAAAAAAAATAAAAAATAAAAGGGTAACACAAAAAAGGTATCAATCTCCTGGAAATATTATTTCTTAAAAACAAAAAAATTAACAAAATCTTTTGGAAAATTAAAAAAGGCAAACGAAAATTGTACAACTCAACTTACCTTAGTCATCCAGATTTCGGGGCCAAAGAAAAACGATATCATGTGTATACCGATAATGGTAAATTGAGCTTCAGTTACATCGATTTTGCCAAAGCGTAGGGTGCCGGAGACATATGTTTGCCAGTGGGCACAATAAAATAAACCTATAGCACAGAAACACTGGAAATGAAGAGAGACAGAGACAGAGAGAGAACATCATTGTAAATTAAATTAACCTTAATGTCATTGAATTGTTGTTGTTTTTTTGGTGGCCGGCCACTCTGCTATACCTGAAAGAATAACCAATTGGGATAGTGACCCAATTGACATGATATACAGGCTGATAGTGCCACAAATACTGTTGATATTGAATCACAGCCATGATCGAATAGCTCTCCCAATGGTGATGATGTATTTGTACGTCTCGCCTGCTTGCCATCGATGGAATCTAAACTTTGATAAATGAAAAGGCCAATGGCACATAGTAGGCAGGTCCATCGCGGGGGTGGTGCTGTGCCTTCAGGTGCATAACTGCAAACGAATAGGAAAATGGAAATTATTAGAAAATTTCATATAAAAATTTTTCGAAAAAAGGCAGAAAATGTTAGCCGGATAATGTTTTCGTAGAGAAAATTTTATCGGGATAATGTTTTCGTGGAGAAAATGTTATCTGGATAATGTTTCGGTATAGAAAATATTATCCGAATAATGTTTCCGTATAGAAAATGTTATCTGAATAATGTTTCCGCAGAGAAAATGTTATCCGGAAGATGTCTTCGTATAGAAAATGTTATCCGGATAATGTTTTCGTATAGAAAATGTTATCCGGATAATGTTTTCGTATAGAAAATGTTATCCGAATAATGTTTTCGTGTAGAAAATTTTACCCGGATGATGATTTTTTTGTACAGAAAATGTTATCCGGATAATGTTTTCGTACAGAAAATGTCATCCGGATAATGTCTTCTTAGAGGAAATTTTATCCAAATAATGTTTTCTTAGAGAAAATGTTATCCGGGTAATGTTTTCTTAGAGAAAATGTTATCCGGATAATGTTTTCTTAGAGAAAATGTCATCCGGATAATGTTTTCATAGAGAAAATGTTATCCGGATAAGGTTTTCGTATAGAAAATGCTATCCGAATAAGGTTTTCGTATAGAAAATGTTATCCGGATAATGTTTTCGTATAGAAAATGTTATTCGGATAATGTTTTCGTATAGAAAAGGTTATCCGGATAATGTTTTCGTATAGAAAATGTTATCCGGATAATGTTTTCGTAAAGAAAATGTTATCCGGATAATGTTTTCGTAAAGAAAATGTTATCCGGATAATGTTTTCCCATAGAAAATTGTTTCCGATTCATGTTTTCGTAGACAAAATGTTATCCGGGTAGTGTTTTCATAGAGAAAATGTTATCCGGATAATGTTTCCGCAGAGAAAATGTTATCCGGATAATGTTTTCATAGAGAAAATATTATCCGGATAATGTTTTCATAGAGAAAATATTATCCGGGTAATGTTTTCATAGAGAAAATGTTATCCGGATGGGGTTTTCGTATAGAAAATACTATCCGGATAAGGTTTTCGTATAGAAAATGCTATCCGGATAAGGTTTTCGTATAGAAAATGTTATCCGGATAATGTTTTCGTATAGAAAATGTTATCCGAATAATGTTTTCGCATAAAAGATGTTATCTTTATAATGTTTATCCTCTAGGTACTTTATCCGGATAATGTTTTCGTTTAAAAAATGTTATCTGGATAATGTTTTCGTATAGAAATATAGAAAATGATATACGAACAATATATTTCTTCCTAGAAAATATTATCCAGTTGACAATTACTCATGAAAAAGGTTATTGCTTTTTAATATAAAAATAAAAAAGAACCCCTTCTTATTTATTATAGACAATAAATCGACAGAGCCTTGCAGAAATAAAGCATCACCAAGTCTAAAAGCAAAGCCAAATTAAGAAAAAAAAATAATAAAATAAAACTGTGTGCATTTCAACGAGAGCGAGCAAAATGAAACAAAAAAGCAAATCACCTTCAAAATGTGATTCATTGCACTTGATTTTCAAACCACAACTTTGTTCACAGCCATTTGCTGTTATATAGGCGGTATAACTAGCTACACAAAGAGACAGCCTCGCAGATTGAAAATTGTATTTGTTATTTTTTTTTTTTTGGTTTGCAAATCATTTTGTATTTTCTCTCTATTGCCGTTTAACTCATTTCATTTATTTATTACTTATTCACAGCTGCTATTAGCAAGTCTGTTAGTTAAATGGTGCTGCTATTCACTTCTCAGATTCTTCTGCTCGAGAATGTAGTTCATCATGTATGACCGACTGACTTGACTGTTTGATTTTTTCTTGCTTTTCATTCATAATTTATTTAATCAAGAAAGCCGAATAGTTTGCTTTTGGGTAGGAGGGGACAGAATTCTTACAAAATTCATTGACTTTTAGTTGCCCTTTTTGCACTAGATATTTGAATGGTGTGTACGTATGTATTTTTTTTGTTGTATTTTCATTTACATTTTCTTAGATTTAAATTTCCAATCAGGCAGGCAATCGATTTCTGCTGTTGTCAATTGGGCCAAAGGTGGATGAAGAGTCAAATCTTTCAGCAAAAGGTTTAATTTTGAAATCAAATTACATGGGAATAGAAATTCAAATGGTTGCGACTAATAATATTACTTGTTGGGGAGAAAAATCTTTTGATAACAAAAATAAGCAATAAATTATTCCAAACTTTGTTGATCGGTATCACCAGCTGTAAACTAAACCAAACTCTCTTCAAATGCATATGCTAAAAATAACAAAATGCTAAATAATTTTCAATTTCTTCACAAAGTCAGACAATTATTGACCGATAAGAAATTTCACACAAAACCGTTATCAAAAAAAAAAAGAAAAAAAAAATTATATTTCAAAAAACCAGGAGACACTATCCCGCATAATGCCAAAAAAGTGATAGGAGGGAGAATATTACGTATGCAAAGATTTGCTTTCTTTCCATTTCAATACAAAAAATGATAGACTTTGGACATAATCTGGCGATTCCGCCTCATTCCAGTAGTTGCTATATGACATGAAATTCATTTAAGCTACATAAAAAACAGCGCAAAAACAACAACAACAACGTTGCCAATAGCATTGAAATGTGAGAACGGCAGCACTCGTTATCACAGTCCAGCGATAATATACAAAACTAACAAATGAAATGCATGAATATTATAGAAAAAAATTAGGAGGTCATTCTGTGGACCTTGTATTAGATATAAAACAGCTTGGAATTCCCAAAGCAAGTTTAATATTTTAAATCTTTAATGAAACTAAATCAAAATTTTTCTCTGCCCTAACTAATAAATCTGGGATTTTTTTTATCTCCCCAAAAAAAGAGGGTACTTAAAATAAATCTTATCAATTTTAAAAACCTATTTAATCTCATACGCATTTAACATTGCTACAAACCCCCCAATACAGTAGTTGTCTGTCATATTTTGACGTTATTATGGCGCATAAGTCTTATCTGCTCATAGAGCAACAATAACAACGACTTGTGGGCAAAAAACGTGTCCATCCTACGTAATATAAAAAAATGATATGAATCTAAGTAACAACAAAGACATTTCAATGATAAGAGTGGTCTGTCTATGAATAAGACGGCCCAATTGGTGGGTCTTTTATAAATAACGTACAACGGAAAACATTTTCTATACGAAAACATTATTCGGATAAAATTTTCTATAGGAAAACTTTATCCGGATAATATTTTCTATTCGAAAATATTACCCGGATAAAACTTTTTGTATGAAAACATTATCCGGATAACATTTTCTATCGGAAAACTTTATCCGGATAACATTTTCTATGGGAAAACATTATACGGATGACATCTTTTATAGAAAAATTTATCCGGATAAAATTTTCTATACAAAAACATTATCCGGATAAAATTTTCTATACAAAAACATTATCCGGATAAAATTTTCTATACGAAAACATTATCCGGATAAAATTTTCTATACGAAAACATTATCCGGATAAAATTTTCTATACGAAAACATTATCCGGATAAAATGTTCTATACAAAAACATTATCCGGATAACATTTTCTATAGGCAAACATTATCCGGATAACATTTTCTATAGGAAAACATTATACGGATAAAACTTTTTATGCGAAAACATTATCCGGATAACATTTTCTTTTGGAAAACTTTATTCGGATAACATTTTCTATGCGAAAACATTGTCCCGATAACTCTTTCTAGAGGAAAACATTATCCTGATACGATTTTCTACAGGACAACATTATACGGATAACATTTTCCATAGGAAAACAGTATTCGGATAAAATTTTCCATAGAAAAACACTATCGGGATAACATTTTCTATAGGAAAACATTATCCGGATAACATTTTCTATAGGAAAACATTATCTGGATAACATCATCTATACGAAAACATTATCCGGATAACATCTTCTATACGAAAACATTATTCCGATAAAATTTTCTTTAGGAAAACATTATCCGGATAACAATTTATGTACGAAAACATTATCCGGATAACATTTTCTATACGAAAACATTATCCGGATAGCATTTTCTCTATGAAAACATTATCCGGATAGCATTTTCTCTATGAAAACATTATCCGGATAGCATTTTTTCTAGGAAAACATTAACCGGATAACGTATATAGGGCAGGACATACTTCCTCTTATGCAGTCATTTTTTTAATTATCTTTTCCAATGAATCCCCAATAAATGATTGTCCAAAGATAGCCCCCAAATCACATTTAAATGCTACTAAACGCTATTCAAACGTCATGCTCAAAAAAAATAAAAAACAACAAATATTTAACGCTTGAATGCATTAACCTGTTGAAATGTGAACTAGATACCCCATTATTATTTCCATAAGCTTAGTTGGCATTTAAATTCCATCATTTTCTACTTCATTTCCAAAAATAAAAAAAAACTTCAAACTAACTTTCTCTAGTGCAGCGACGACGACCCCATTTCTAGTTCATAACCTAAGGTGCTCCTCGGGGTTGTTAACTAGGTTATCTATCTATGACTATTTCGGGCTAACTACAAATTATACTTATTGTTGTAATATTAATAGCCATACTAAACTGTAACTAAAATGTGAGGTTATTTAAATAGATGTGATTTGTTTGATGGAGGGTGGGAATTAATAACTACCCTCCTTTTGGTTTACTAATTGTTGGGAATAGACATGTGGTGTGATGGGGGGAATGTTCTCTTGGTAAATTTGTTGGAACATTTTTTTATGAATCATTCAAATTTTCACTCGAAGCTGGTATAGACTAGACTATTATAATGACATGTTTTCAATGGAAATAGGAAGTAATATTGGTTACAGGTGCTTTCTCCAAAATACATTAAAATCAACGAGAATTTTTCTCCAATATTATTGGTTTGGAGCTTGAATTGTAAATGGACGTGGAGTCGTATTTCACCTAAAAAATTAGAAAATATTAGTGTCATTTAATATTAAATATATTCATTATTATTTACAAATTACAAATCCACTTCTTTTTAAACTCCTTCCCTCCTCCACTATTGTACTATTGTTGTCTCTCAAATTGATTAGTCATTCCAAACAATTGTTTTCCTATAATTCCGGACAATTGCAAAAAGCATTGCACAATTTATAAACTAATGTAATAATTCTAAATAATTCTCTATTTTACTTTTGTTTTTAGCATTACGTTTCGTACCGGCCGGCGGCACATGGTTGGTTTGGTTTCGTTTCGTTCCGTTCATGATATGAATATCAAACAGCCTAATCATTTTTATTTTAATCACTTTGAAACAAGAAAGATCAGACGAAATAGTCTGTAGTCATTGTTGTCTACAATGAACAGCTGATTAGCCGTTAAGTCAACGTCAGCAAAAGAGCAAGAGCGAACAGCGCTAATAATCTCAATGTTGTTTCTAGTAGAGAAATGTGACAAGAGTAGAACGAACGAGATAATAAGTGGGTCATTCATAGATGGAAGAAAAACTAGTATTCTCATTCAACGGGACTTTAATATATTCAAAATACAACAAGAACATCAATTTCCTGAAATTGTTGTTGGCTTTCACAACACATTCCCCCAAGAAAATCTCTAAATTTATAACAGGAAATAGATTTCTTGACAAGTGAGAGCGAGAAAGAGCGGGAAATTGATGAAAACATGATGCATTTTAATAAAAATAAATACGATTACAGGCCTATTCCATTGGAAATAAAGAACAAACGTTGGCAATTTAAAAACGATGACGTTTAATTCCTCTGCTCTGTCCCAAAAATAAAACTGTCTGCCAAAACCAAAAAAGAAAACAGCAACAAGAGACACAAGTGGGAGATGCGCTAGATGTGGGAAAATCTAGCGCAAATGTTGTTGCCAAATAAAAATGAAAATTTCAGGGTCAAACAGAGAAATTAACACACTTGTAGCAAATCAATCGAATTTGGTGGACAATAGAAGAATGCGAAATTTAAATGCAATTAAATACTTACGCGACCAATATCAAAGTTGTGATAATATTTACAGCCAGACCCACAATGGTAATTAGATTTGGTGCCAGCCAGAGGGGAGTTTTTGACACAAGCCAATTCCACCATGGCTGCAGCCAAGGATCCATTAGACTTGAGTTGGTACATGAGTATTTATGTTCGGACAATTTCTTTAATTGCTGTGGTGACAGAATGCGATCTTTGTAGGCCATTTTTGGTATGGGGGTGGTGGTGTACTGCTTATAAATTCTACTATATTTGTTTTTTTGTAAAAAAGCAAACTTTTGCAAATCGGAGGGAGTTTTCTTTTTTTTCTTCTTATTCTACAAGAACCATTTAATTCCGTTTCTGTTATAGCATATAGCAACAACGACGAACAATGTGCTATTATTTGAACTTTTTAAAATGCACTTTTTGCTGTGGTAAGCAACAAACACACACGTATACACGCATTAATTTTTTTTGCACAATCCTCCCCTTTGCTTTTCACACACTGCTGACCGACCAACCAACAAATGAAAAAGTAAAGAGACACCGACCGTCCTCCTTAATTTTTTGTTCTCTTATGTTTTTTTTTGCGATTTCACGTGCTGACTTTTGTACTTTGCTTAAATTTTAATTGTTTAATTAATAAATTCTTTGTTTGTCACAAGCCATTTGATGAGTGGAATTCCTTCTTGTTATGTGTTATATTTTTTTGTATATTTCCAATGACACTTGATTGCGTGTATTTTCTTATTTCCACACGTTTTCACCGTACTTTAAATTTTTTCCTCTGATTTTCATCGTATGTAATAGGGATTTGTAGGCTGACATTTGAGCAATCGAATGAATGTCGATTGTATGGGGTGAAATAATCGAACAATCGATTTTTTCATGATGACATTTTGCTGGGTTGTTTCTAGCTGGGAAACTGTTAATTTGAAGTTATTTCTTGAATAAGAATGGCGTTTATTTGTTGTTATAGGTTTTTTTCGTGTCAAAAATGCCAGCGTTTTTCCATTGTTACACATATTAAATGAGCAATTTATGAAAATATTTTATTACAAAATTTCTTCCTTTGACATATCTAACCTTTTTAAAATAACAGTTTTAAACTCTCATTAATCAAGAATTGAGGGGACCAAGGAGGTAGGGGCAGTGTCCATTCACTGTATAAAACGAGGTATAGATTCTTTAACCCATTTTTTGTGGACGGTAATAGTCAAAAACAAAGATATGAATGAAAAGTTTAAATAAAAGTTGACAAGTTGCTGTTGTCATGACTAGGACATTGTGACTACTTTATTTTGGTACATAGCTCCCCTATAACTTTCGTTAAATACCGAGATTATTAGTATTTTAATTTTAGTAATTTTAATGGGTAACTACAGATTTCTGCCATTGATATTTCTTATTACCATCTGGATGCTGCCTTCCCAAAGTATGATAAATCATCCTAGTGGATCAGCCAAACTATTGTTCAAGAAGAAATTCATAATTTTGTGAAAAATTATCAACAGAAGAAAAATATATGTGATATTTATTGATATTTAAGATGATAGGGATCTGTAAATCGATTTTTGTCCAATCGATTAGTCTTCTTGTGAAGTTACAGGGCGACTGGTGAAACTTGAAATAATTTTATATTAGCATGTTTACATCAAAGCTCCCTACTCCTACACATGCAAAGACCGTTATTTATAGGAAAAGGCGCAATAATGTTTTATTATCTGAAATGTTTTTTAGTTTTGTATGCAGAAAACGGGTGAAGTATGTGTATTCCTATGGGTTTTAATAACATATGTGTTTTTATTGTCCATTATATAGACGACGCTCTCTTTAAAGGAGATGATGACATTCACGATTTCTCACCCTAACCTCAAACCTTGTTTTTTTAAATGAAGCTTGAAATAAATATAAAACACTACTTTGTTTGTTTGTTATTGTATACATATTTTATTCTTTAATTTATAATTTATTATTACTTTTTTTTAATATTACCACTAGACACTGTTCGGATATCGACGATATATTTTACCTTGTATGTATATCATTTTTTGTATTTATTTTATGTTATGCATAACATAATAAATTTCAGTGTGGATCAATACTAAAAAGTGCTTCATTATATCAATATGTTTAGTTTTTTTATATCATATCTTTAAATTTTATATAAAAAAATGTTATTCGTATATTTATTTTGTTTTATGATGGCAACCTTTTACTTAATTTGTTTATGTATATATAAAATATGTATGTATATGTGCACTGAAATAGCGAAAATTGAATGATACATTACCTTTTTTTGGGTGTGAGTGAATAGCTGCTATTTGGATGGCGGGAAGACTTTTGGTTATTGGGTGGTGTGAACGCAAAGAAAAATCAAGGAAAATCGAAATGAGATAATTATTTATTAGTTTCAAGGGGAAAAAATCAGAATGCCATGACATTTTAAACCAATAGTTTGAAAAGAGAGGACATTTAAAAGGAAATCACATTTAAAAAAATGAAAGGCTTTAAAATAAACAATAAATCATAACAATGTAAACGTAGTATTTTTGCCCAAGTTTGACTTAATTTCATAAAAAACGGTGAATTTTTGCGAGTACACAGTGAATTGATTAAAGAACGACAGGGAGATAGCAAGAAAATAAGAGTTCGGGGAAAATGGTTATATTTGAGGTTATGTTCTAAATGAATAGGAAAAATATCAAAAACGTTACATTATCTCCGTTTCCCTTTGGCTTTGTATATTATGTATATTTATATAAATAATCTATTAATTTTAAATTTATTTTAGCTGTCTCCGTTACAAATAGTAGTTTAAACAATCCCTATATTTAGTTCCTTGTTTCACATGAAAATATTTAAATAAAAACAAATTAATGCAAAATAAAAACAAGAAATTCCATAGCCAATTAACAACGTTTGAAATAATAATAATAAAAACAAAATTTTCAATATAAGTTTTTTTTTAAATAATTTTAATTTTTATTATTTTTGTTTTGTTTTTAAATATTGTTTTAAAGATTATATCAAAGGCATATAAACGTATAATTTCTAAGCAAAAAAATTGTTTTCGTTTTTTTTTTCTGTTATAATCTAAAACAAATTATGTTTTATTTATACTTTTTTTAATAGGACATGTGTAATTTAAGTTTATCGTTTAAAGCATTATAAAACCGAAGAAATGATTTCCAAAAATTTGGCATTTTTTATGTAAATGTATATTTAAATTTTTATTATATATAATAATTTGTTTTTATTACTTTAAAATCTACAAATCTATATATGGGATAATGAAAAAAAGAAAGGAGAATAAAAGGAAAATAATTGTTTGCAAATGATTTTTGTTTAATATACACAAAATTATTTATATATTTATATTTTATTTATTTATTTATTTATATTTTAATATATTTATATTTTAAATATTTATTTTTTTTATTTAGAATATATAAATAGAACAAAACTAGAGAAAAAAACACTTAAGCTTAAGAGCAAACACAAGAAAATAGCAAACCAGTTTTTAGAAACATAGCAAAATAGTTTTTAAAGTTTTTTATTTTATTTTTATGGTGTTTTTGTTTGGTTTTTTTTTCTTGTTATTATTATTAAATATTTCATGATTGATTTTTTTTCATTCGGTACGGTTTTTGTTGTGTTATATTTTGTATAATGGATACGAATATTCTTACATGCTTTCATTTCTATTGGGGTACTTCTTTTAGCTAATATTTTTATAAAGAGAAAAATTTATAAAAACACTTTTTTGGAAAATAAATTTTAAAATTAGTTTGTAATGAAAATAGTTAAGGAATATTTTAAATTTCAAATTAAATTAAATTCATTCATTTTATTTTTTAAATTTCAAATTAAATTAAATGCATTCATTTTATTTTTTAAAGAACTGAAATAGGTAACCTTTTAAAAGGATATCCATAATCTTAACATTTTTACAAAATTTTGTAGAAAATTTCGGCCATAACTTCACTTCAAAAATGTTCACAAAAAAAACATAAATAAATAAAAATAAAAGCACTGTTCCCGATCCTGCAAGAATCTACTATCTTTGCAATTTTCCTCGATATCACAAAGGGAAAATCGGTTATCGTAGTAAAAAATTACATTCTTGCAGTTCTGGAAAAAGCCAAAAATGTTGTACAGAAATTTAAGTATCAAGAATAATAAAATCATTCCGAATTTAAATCTATAAGATTTTTTCGTCCATAACCTCACATTTCTTTTGTTTAAAATTTGAGTGCAGGCATTGGAATTTTATTTTTTTTTTTTACGAAAAAAGCATAAAATTAGGAAATTAAGAAATAAAATAAAAATTTTCCTTTATTTTTTTTTTGGATTTTTTTTTTTGACCTGAGCTTAAATTTCCAATTTCCTATTGTGTCTGGAGTATTTTGGAAAGCAAGATTGCCACTAAAAAATAACAAAGTGCCAAGCAAGCGCTTCGCCGGGAATGGGCCAAAATACCGCAGAGCAACAGCGGACAGCGTGTGACGGCGGTTTCATTGGCCGTTTGAAGGCCATAATTGGTGCCAAAGGTGACGAGTTCGAACAAATTTAAACTTATTCTAAAATTTTATGCTATTTGCGACATTTTCTGTATTTGTTATATTTCCCCAAATATCGTTGATACAGAGTGCATATTACGGCTGCGAAGGACAAAAATAACAAATCGGATGAACAATATATATGGTAGCTATAGCTATATCTGGACCGAATCCGATCAAATTTGCCAAACATATTTTCAGGCCTTATCTGGTCGTATGTGCAAAATTCCATAATATTTGGTCTGATATTACACGTTTGGTGCACAAAAAAAGGCAAATCGGACGAAGATATATATGGGAGCTATATCTAAAATTTGACTGATTATCTCTAATTTCTATAGGCTTCGTCCTCGGGTTAAACAAATTATTTGTGGGAAATCGATCGGGCAATAAATGCGACCTGTACTTTGTTTACAAAAATACATGGACAGACGGACGGACAGACAAAGACATGATACCCTGAACACCTTGTGGTGTAGGGTATGAAAAGGGGACAACAAATGTGCGTTTCAGTTAAAGTTTCAAATACTAAACCTTAAAATATTCCTTAACAATATTTCCATTAGAGTAGACAGCTCAATATTTGTAAAACAAACAATATATGGCTCCTAAAATAAAAAAGAACTAAATTCGAAAATGCAAAAATATTAAAAATACAATTTTTTCAAATCTGTTTAAAAAAAATGAAAGAAGGAAAAGAAAAAACATTGCAAAAAATTTTGTTTTCTATAATTATTTTATTTAACATAAAATACTTTAATTAATTATTTGTTTCTTTTCATTTTTTGTTGTTTAGTTTTTATGTAGATGCGGTATTATTTTCGCTTTTCATTTGTTGTTTTTCTAAAAAATATGGCAATTTGTTGATGTTGTTGTGTATTAAACAGCATTTTTCACATAGTTAAATTTTTCAATATCAAATTTTTGTTTTTAATTTTATTTAAAAAAATGGAAGCAAAACAATAATAATTTTTTTCTTAAAAAATGTTTTCATTTTTTGTGGGCGTTTTTTAGTTTAAATTTATTTTTTTTTTATTTTTTGAAAAATCTTGATCTTAGCAAATGATTTTAAATCGTTATAAAATAATGTATAATAGTTAAATTATCTTTTATATATTTATAGTTTAAGATTTGTTTTTTTTTTAATTTATTATTAATAATAATTATATAAATTATCATGGTTTGTTGTATATTTTTCTTGTTTTGTTTTTTTACTCATTTTAGGTAAAAAATGTTGTATTTTTTTACTAAAAAATATCGTGGTTTTCTTCATTACATTTTGTTGTTTTTAAAAAGTAAAAAAATTGTTTATCAGTTTCTAAACAAATGCATTCATTACGGGTTTTAGTTTTTGTTGGTTGGTTTTTTCTCTGTTTTAATATTTTTTTTATTTATCATCGTCATCTTTATCTTGATCTCTATTTATAGTTATCGTATTGTTTGTTTGTTTATATATATTTATTAAAACATAAAAAAACATATGGTATGTGTGTAAAAAAATGTGGCGTTTATTTAAATAAATTGCGTTTGCGTTTCTTGTTGCTGTTGTTGCTGTTCGGGTTGTGGTTCAATGACGGTGTTTACAATGGTTGTTTGGGTGTTGAGTATGAAGAGCATGAAAAAAAGATGGACGAGGAGGAGGGTTTGGTTTTTTTACTTTCTAAAAGTTTTCCGTTTTTTTGTTTTATTCGATAATTTTTTTTTATAATTTAATAGGATATTTTGTTGGGATATTTGCTGATGTTGTTGTTGTTACTGTTGTGGGGATGTTGTGGCTGCTGTTGTTGTTGTTGCTGGTGATTGTTGTATTTAAGCAATAATTATGAGTGATGATATGGCGTTACATAGGTAGCTGGGAAAATGCCCTTACGATTGCCAATCTCACCATTCCACCAGTTCTCGTCGGAACGATCTGTTACGGTGATGACATCACCACGTCTGAATTCCAATTCACCTGACTCTTGTGGCACAAAATCGTACAGGGCCTGTACAAGCATCTGGAATAAAAAGGACAGGAGGGAAATTAGTGATTTTTTAAAGAAAACTTTTCGATAGGAAATCTTCAATCCAACCTGGCTGAATTGGGATTTTCCATAGGAAATCTTCAATTCAATCTGGCTGAATTGGGATTTTCCATAGGAAATCTTCAATTCAGCCCGGCTGAATGGGGGTTTCCATAAGAAAACTGCAATTCAGTCCGGCTGAATGGGAGTTTCCATAGAAAAGTGCAATTCAGCCTGGCTGAATGGGGGTTTTCCATAGGAAAACTTAAAAAAAAACAAGTAAAATTGCTGTAAGTTCGGCTGGGCTGAACTTTGCATACCCTCCATCATTTGAAACAAATTTGGCAATTTTCAAAAAAAAAATCCTTAAAAATTCTGTTAAAATCTTAAAAATACCAATTGTAGCCGTCATATTAGGGTCTAAACGACGACGTGGACCTGCATAGGCAACTTTTGTCATAAGCCATTACAATATTCAAATGCGAAACTTGAAAAAAAAAACGGTGAATAATGTAGCTATATAGGGAGGTACTAATATATGGCGGCTATACCAAAATGTGGACATGCACAGACAATTTTCTGTCATAGGCTCCAGTATCCATTCCAAACGTCAAATATCAAATTTGAAACAATTTCGATGAATACTGTATCTAAAATCATCAAAATACCGAATATCGGGAGGTACCGCTATATGAGGGCTATACGAAGACGTGGAGCTGCACGGAAAATTTTCTGTCATAGGCTGTAGTATTCATTACGAATTTCAAATACCAAATTTGAAACAATTCCGGTGATTAATGTTGCTAAAATCATCAAAATACGAAAATATCGGGAGGTACCTTTATATGGGGGCTATACGAAGACGTGAAGCTGCACGGAAAATTTTCTATCATAGGCTGTAGTATCCATTTTGAACTTCAAATACCAAATTTGAAACAATTCCAGTGAATAATGTCGCTAAAATCGTCAAAAACCGAATATCGGGAGGTACCCTTATATGGGGGCTATACGAAGACGTGGACCTACATGACCCATTTTCAATACCAAAAGTCCTGTATATATTATATACATTTGAGTAAAATTTTAGTAATCTATTTCATTTCGTTCGGAAGCCAGAGTGATTTCCACAGACGGACACGAATCGCTAAATCGACAAAGAATTTTATGTTGATCAAGAAAATATGCACTTTGTGGGGTCTAAAATGTATATTTCGAGGTGTTACAAACGAAATGACAATTTTAATATACCCTCCATACTATGGTGGAGGGTATATAAACATAACATTCAACCCAGCTGCAAATGGAATTTTCCATGGGGAAAACTTCAAATCACCCCCACTTTAATATATCCTTCTAATAGTGCCCTACTATTCAACCAGTCTTTCCGTCTTTTCATTTTCCAATCTTTCATATTTAAATTTATTTTATTTTTAATTATTTGCAAAACCTTACCTCTTCAGGTATCATATCTCTTAATTTGACATCTTGTGATCTGGATACGCTTGCCGTTCGATGATATTCAACCAATTCATTTAATGAATTAAATTTAACCACCCAAAGGAAGAATTTACCTTGTGCGTCACGTAATACTTTAAAATGTTGAACACCATCGGGACACCTAAAACGAAAGGAGAGAGAATTGGATTAATAAATTTGTGAAAAAAAGAACAGAAAACAATAACAAACCACATTACTTACTTAACCGATAATGAAAAATCACCCGGACTTGATTCACTAATACGTATTAAAAAAGCGCCTTCATGTTTGTTCGATAATAGTTTTTCAGCATCAGCGCGGGTAATGCGACCATAGTACCAACTAAAAAAAGAAAGAAAGAAATTGGAATTATTATCACAGTTGTGGTGTGAGGGGATGCGTTGGCTCGACTTACTCATGATTTTTCATTTCTATGTAATTGCTGGGTATGAGACCTTCTTTGCCATCTAATTCAGCACGATACCAATTTGAATCATCTTCCATATTTAAAATCTGAAAATAGAAAAAAAAAAAAAAATAAACGAGTTAGTCATTGTTTTTAGCAAATATGTGGCATGACATAGGAAAGTTGTAAAAAAAAATATAAATAAAATAATATAAATAAATAAAATAAATAAAAAATTACTTTTTTGAAGAATAGCAATCGAGAATTGTTAAAGACTAGTTTTTGGAGGACTATAGAGAGTCACAAACCTGGATTCTTTTGAAAAACTATCAGGGCTGGAAATGTGAGCTGTGTTTGAAAAAATATTTAGAGGACTATTAGAGCCGCAAACCTAGATTTTTTTGTAGGAATATCAGGGTTGGAAATGTGAGCTGTGTTTGAAAAGATATTTGGAGGAATATCGAGGCTAAAATCCCGGAATTTCTAGAATATTTTTTGGAGGAATATCAGACTTACAACAGTAAGTTATTTTTGTTTGGCTATTAAAACCCCAATTCAGTATGGAAAACCCAAATCAGCCGAGCTGTATAGAAATTTTTGTCATAAATATCCATTTTACATCGCAGCCTCTTTTCATGCCAAGTCTCCCAATCTTTAATTTGATCGATAACTTCTTTAAGGTGAAGGGAGCTGCTTTCATACATTCTCTGTGCGTATGAAATTAATTCAGCAGATTTGAAAAGCAGAGCTAACTGATTTATGAATCATAAACCTGTATCAGGAGACCATTCTTTTGCTTTGTGCAGGTTATTTTTATACAAATCGAGAAAAAAAAAAACACAGATATTTATACCATTTTATGTTTTACGATTATGGCCGACACATGCTAAACAGCAGCAGCGAAAAGTGGAGAGAAAAAAAGAAACATATGTTTTATTTGTTCGACCTGTTTTCTCTTTTTTTTTGCTTCTTTGATTGACTGAGAACTAGAGGGAGGGAGGTGAATAATTCAATACGTCAGTATTTATGTCAAATTATTTATAGTCAGTAGATTTCGTTGAAATTAGTGGCAAATTATGTATGTATTCGTAATCAATTTTAAATTTTATTGGAGGGCAATGACTCATGGATTGGGTTAAGTGGGGAGATATCGGATTAGGGTCTCATGGGGGAAATATATCACACCATTAGATTTGTTATTTACTAATTAGGAGGAGGATCACCCTTAAAAATTCTGTAAATAATTTAGGTACATTATCTGAATTATTTAAGTATTATATAGATAATTGCCATAATAACTGCATAATAGGAATATTATATAATGCAGATAATACAGGGGCCAACGATACGGCGCCTTGCTCCCCACAGTGGTGATGTTCGTTGCAAGTTTTTGCGCATAGATTCATATTTGCATGTTGCCCCTTACTTGATTTCTTTTACGGTATAATGAAAATAATTTATCAACAAAATCCCCTTAACGTATATATTTTATGCAAATAAAAAATGCTGTATTTTTAATTTTTTTAACTGATCCTTTTAGGGATGTGTAGGTCGACTTTTCATTGGCATACTGAATGTAAAGTGAAATGATAACATAATGATATTTGTCTTGTTAATTTGTAAGGAAATGTGGTAATGCTATTTGCAAATATTAATATCAAAATATATGTATATGGTAATAATAAATTTAATCGCAAGCCTTACTTGATATTTTATCTATAATCTCTAAATTTTGTGGATGAATTGTAATTTTTCCATTTCTTTACATATATGCTTTAGGGATATGTAGGTCGACTTTTGCGATAGCATAGTAAATGCAAAGATAAATGATAACATATGTTACCATAAAATTAAAAATGTCTTGTTTTCAAATAATTTTTTCGTTTCTTTGATTGGCTGAGAACCAGAGGGAGGGAGGTGAATAATTCAATACGTCATTAAGTATTTATGTCAAATTATTTATAGTCAGATAGATTTCGATGAAATTAGTGGCAAATTATGTATTCGGAATCAAATTGAAATTTTATTGCAGGACAATGACTCAGGGATTTGGTTTATGGGTAGATAGGAGATCAGGGTCTCCTAGGGGAAATATATACCATCATTACACTTTCTATCTATAAATGAGGAAGTGGTACACCCTCGCCTTCAAATGTTATTTTATATTTCCAAGAGTGTAGCTGGGATGATAGTTTTGGATTATCCCTCCCTCCATCCCCACTTTTTTGTGCCATTAACATAAAAGCACAAATCTACAACACAAAAGGTAATTAAACTACTACAAATTTCGCATAAATTAATTTAAAATAAATAATCCAGAATACAATTGAATTCAAAAAAGGCCAGGCATCACCAGTTTCCAAATGACTGAACATTGTGGCTGGCTGGCGGGCGGTCATCACAAAGTTACGAAATGGCCAAACGAAACAACAAGGCCAATATAAATATTTATGTTTCAGAACTATTCAATAAACAATGATGTTAAATGGAAAATAAATATAAAATTTTGAAAAAGAAAAACTTATATTTGATCTAGTTCAATTGGCTCAATAGGTTCTGCCGTAGGAAAACTTCATTACAGCCACCAGAATGGGGAGTTTTCATAAAAAAGGTTTTAATTCAGCTCGCCTGAATGGAGGTTTGTTTCAATTCAGCCCGGCTGAAATAGGTATTTCACGTCGAAATTTCAATTCTGCCAAGGATTTCCTTACGAAAACTTCCCTTCTCCTTGAAGCAAAGATTCGCATTCTTTGTTTTTATTTAATTCCTTTCCGGTCTGGTGATAATACGAAAAGCGAAAGTTCAAATGTCCTGTTTAACAACCCCATAACCATAATTTCAACTTTTTTTAAATCAAACCTCAATTATCCAAAATGAAAGAGAGAGAAAATCACAAAATATGATTAAGGACTTGTTGGGGAAACAATAAACCAACGAAAGGACAACATGGGAAGGACAAACAAGCAGCAGGGCTATTATTATTAAATCAACAGCAAAACCAGATTCTATTAAAGTCATGCAAAAATTTTAGGATGAAACAAAAAAGACCATTAACACTTGGCCTGGCAACGGGTAAAGAGCAAAACAAAAAAAAGAAACTCCAAAAAAAAAGACGTCTGCTAAAGTATTCTATGGTTCCGTTTGGAGCAAAGGAAGCAAAAAAAAAAAGAAAATCACAAAAGAGAGTAAGAGAGACGTCCCAACCAGCAAACAATTCCAAATTGTTGCTGCTATGGACTGCAACAATCTGGTTTTTTGCTTCCTTTTTCTTTCCTTCATTGTCGCTTTGGCCACACGACAAGGGCAAATGAGAAGCAGGGACAAACGAAATGATGGCAATGGCCATGTAGCAAGGATATCTGCTGCTCATCTTGGCTTTGAGGAGACACATGCTGGTCAAACAAGTTTTTTTGTTGGTTGGTTGGACAATGCAGCTCTTTGGCAGGTCTACACTCTAAAAAAAAACATACCCCGAGGGGGAGGTTTATGGTTTTCAATTTTTGTCTGCCAAAAAAATGTAGATCTCTCCCCGCGTCGATGCAATAAGGGCCACTGCGCCTAGGCGTCTGCCTTCAATGGTATGGTGGAATGGAAAAATGTTTTGCCCAGCGCTTCTTCTGCTGACAAATATCATCATCTTCATTGAAGTTGTTGTTTTTGTTGCATCTGCTTAGCATTGTTAACATGATAATGATGCAGTTTTGCCAATGATAATCATATGACCATGTCAGACACAAGGCTAAGCCTGATAGCTGTGATGCCATTGCACTTTTTGTTGTTTTCTTGCATAGTATATCTGAATGTTGCTGACTGCCTGCCTATCGGGATGCCTGTATGTCGTCGTCGTCGTTGTCTGCTTGGGTCACACGCTTACAATGTCGCGTATAAGCTGTGGAACAACGGCATTGTAATGGCAACCGGCTACAGCAGATGACTTTGTGGTTATTAAGTAAATGATATTTGCGACCGCTGTTGCTGCCGATGATGAGGCGGGTTTCAGTTATTGTTTTTTGTTGTTGTTGTAATTGTAGACTAATGATGTTCTGGCTGATTGAATTCGCTTGCTATTGCCATAACATGGATTATTTATTTACATTTTAGGAACGTTTCAGATAATTTCTACAAATTCTGTAAATAATTTAGGTACATTATCTGAATTATCTAAATATTATGTAGATAATTACCGAAATTAACTGCATAACAGGAATATTTTTTAAATATTGCAGATAATACAGGGTGGCCACGAAACGGCGCCTTGCTCGCCACAGTGGTGATGTTCATAGAAATTTGTTACAACTTTTGTGCGGAAAGATTGCCTGTTGCCCCATATTTAATTTATTTTACGATGATAAAGTACATAACGTATATATTTAATCCATAATAAAAAATTGTGTAAATCATTTCTATTTTTTTAATTTCTTAACTAATCTGTTTTAGGGATATGTAGGTCGACTTTTCGTTGGCATAGTGAATGTAAAGTGAAATGATAACACATGTTAACTGTATTGTATTTGTCTTGTTCTAAAATTGTAAGGAAATGTGATGATGATATTTGCAATTTATAGCATTAGAATGTAAATATATAATAATAAATTGAACGGAAAACCTTACTTGATATTTTATCTATAATGTAGGGATATGTAGGTCGACTTTTGCTTTAGCATAGTAAATGTAAAGTTAAATGATAACAGAATTATATTTGTCTTGTTCTATAATTAAATGGAATGTAGTGATGCTATTTGCTAAATATAAGCATTGAAATATGCATAAATGCTAATAATAAATTATTCATTGCTCATAAAACGTATTAAGTAATAAAATATTATAAATTTATCTTAATTTTGCAGCAAGTTTTATTGATGAATAATTTTTTGCAAAAACTAGGAACATACCATACCAGGAGCCATTCCAAGATAGTTTTTTTTTTTACTTTTCCAAATTGTGTCTGTAAACCCCTCTAACCCTAACCACTGTGCCGCAATAACAATGCATTTAAACCCGTGCAAGTAATTTAATAAGAAAAAAATTTCAATAGAATCACGTATCGATTGTCTTATTCAAGAAAAAATTGCACATTTAAAGAGAAATCGAAATTTCAATGACAAAACTGAAATTGTAGAATAAGCACGCAAAATAGTTTTGTTTTCGTTTAATACAAATGTAAGTAAAAAAAAAACATTTCAACAAATCCTCTTCTCTTCAAATATAGCCAAATAATTTTGTTGGACCAAAGGTCGCTTGCACGAAGAACCAAGGGTCTTTTGCAAAAAGAGCAAAGGTCTTGTACCAAAAAATCTTTTTTTCCAGATGACCCCAAGTTCTCAAAGAGCTTCTATTAGGATGCCCAAAATACCAAAAAAATCTTCTATAAGAAGACAAATGAGTTGACTTTAAAACGACCCTAAGGTATTTTCGCTATAGAAGTCCAAAATGTCCTCTATAAGCATTTTAAAAGGTCCTATATAAGAAGACCAGGATCGCATATTAATAGGACCAAAAACACTTTTATGAGAAAACTACTTCTGCAGAAGGACTCAAGGATCCTCCAAAGATATCGAAAAGCCGCCCCAAATCGTTTCGATAAGAAGACTCAAAAGTCTTTTTCAAGAACACCAAAAGATTTATATATTTTTCGAGCATAGGCAAAGTTCACACACCTTTGCCTTTTTTCTCTTCAGAAGGCTCAAACTACTTCTAAAAAGGACCCAAGGATCCTCCAAAGATATCGAAAAGCCGGCCCAAATCGTTTCGATAAGAGGACTCAATAGGTTTTTTCAAAAGACATATATATCTCGAGCATAGGCAAAGTTCACAAACCTCTCCCACCAAAAATGTAAAAAAAATAATTTACAAAAAAAATACGCTGACATCTGTTATTTTATAAAGCCACCCAAAAAATGCACCCACACACGTTTCATATATTCGAAATTCTAAATAGTATTATTACATCATTAGCTTGTATATTTTGTTAACAAACTAATAATATTTTACAACACAAACGACAACACCAACAACAACAGCAGCAACAAAATCAGAACAACAAACACGAAAACAGAAATATCTCTGACGGCAACAAATTTTCAAATCTAAACGCCATCTCGACTAAAAAACAAAAAAAATGGCAAAAACAAAAATGAAAACACGCACGCAACACACATTTTCACATGGTCGAGAAGAAGCAAAAGCAAAGAAGAAAAAATTCCGACAAAAAATTTAGGCGGAGAAAATGCAGCAAAACAACTCATTACCAAATAAGGGATTTATTGAGAGCAGAACAGTAACTTTTTACTTCCACTTTTTTTTTAGAAAATACTAACATAGCTGCAAAAATTTGATAGAATTTCTTAGAATAACATCTCGTTACCAAATATTTGTTAAGTAACATCAACTCATTACCAAGTAATGAGTTTTTTTGGATTAAATGCTTAAAATAGCTATCAAAAGTCGTTAAACAGGCCGAAAAAGTATTTGTTGTGTATTTGGCATCAGTAACCACTCTACTCACCAACCTGTCTACCAATCCCTTACTGTGACATGGAGATGGCCACAGAAGGATATATAAAATATATTTTCATTATTTTTTGACCTACTGGTAATGGAGAAGGTATGTTGTTGCATACAGTACTGCCATTTCTCGGAGCATAGCCAGTTGCTTTGGGTCAAAAGGTAATTATTTTTTAGCCTCCTGGGAATATCGAAGGTATATTGTTGATATTTTAATGTTAAATATGGCTAAATATGCTCATTACTGGTAATGCAGGAAGTATGTTCTTGTCTTACTTGTCTTACAGCGAAAATTTATAGTTTGTCCCCCGAAATGACTTCGAAAGGCATTGCCTGGTGGCGCCCAACCAAAAAAAAATATCAAACCCAAAGGCCTGAGAACAGGGCCATTAATCCCATACATACATCCCTCAATTTCCCAAAAAAAAAAAAGAAACTTTGACTATGAGGTAATAAAAATAGTCCAAAAACAGTTCCCATATTGCCATGGCGGCATGGCTACTCTCCCTGTATGCTGAGAATTTATGCCGCACATAAAAATGATATATGTACGAGTGTGTATGGGAAACGGGTGAGTAAGTGGCTGGTTTATTTTCTCATTTGTCTCTGTGTTTTTCTTTGTACATTTTTATGTCAAAATCTAAACAAGTGGGGATATGAAGAAAATGGCCGAAAAACACCATTGGCAACAACAAAAATACGAAAAAAAAATTGTTTTGCAAATTCCATTGAAAATGAATTGCCTGGCTACGGCAACTATTCAAAGCTGGCGCGCACATGAACTATTATCGATATTATTTGCATATTTCCAAAAAAAATTCGCATTTTGAAATTTTGTTTATAAAGCCCACAACAACAACAAGAACATGAAAAATAAATAAAACTAATGGCGAAAATATATGCCAGGGAAGGTAATTATTCAAAAAAAAAAAACTTTTGTGCGGATATTTCGGTACAATGCAAATAATTTATCAAAAATATTTACATTACGTATATATTTTATCCATACATAAAATTTTGTAGATCATTTTTAACTTTTCCATTTCTTAACTGATCTGTTTTAGGGCTATGTAGGTCGACTTTCCGTTAGCATAGTGAATGTAAAGTGAAATGATAACACATGTTACCAGTATTATATTTGTCTTCTTCTAAAATTGTAAGGAAATGTGGTGATGATATTTGCAAACATTAGCATTAGAATATACATATATGCCAATAATAAGTTGAATAAGGCATGCCATTCAATGCATGTTTGAATCTATAATTTTTAAATTGTGTGGAAATTTTTTTTAATTTTTCCATTTCTTAACTGATCTGTTTTAGGGATATGTAGGGCGACTTTTCGTTAGCACAGGGAATGTAAAGTGAAATGATAACACATGTTAACAGAATTATATTTTTATTGTTTAAAATTGCAAGGAAATGTGATGCAATTTGGAAATATTAGTATTAGAAGTTGTATACGTGTATGTTAATAAAAAATTGAATGGCAAGCCTTACTTGATATTTTATCTAAAATCTCTAAATTTCTCTAACGGACAAGTTTCAATTTTTCTAATTCTTTACTGATATGCTTTACGTATATATAGGTCGAGTTTTCGATAGTATAGTATAGTTGCCTTCAAATAATTGTGGAATGTGGAATGTAGTGATGCTATTTGCTAGATATAGGCTTAGAATTTGTGTATATACAAATAAAAAATAGTTCATTGCTTCTAAAATTCAGTAAATAGTCCAATATAATAAATTTCTCTCCTGGGAGATTTTCGTTAATGGTGCCTAAGTGATATAATACAGGTTCTGGAACATAACTATATTATAGTAGTCGAAAAATCGATTATTCCTCATCTAATTCTAATTCAGTATGTCTTTTGCAAAAACTCAGAATTTATCGAGCCATTCCGAGAGGGTTTTATTTTTAATTTTAAGATTTGTCATTGGAAACCTTTATACCCATAAACACAGTCCCAGTATAGCAATGCATTCAAATCCGTGCAAGTAATTTAATAAGAAAAAAATTCAATAGAATCACGTATCGATTGTCTTATTCAATAAAAAATTGCCTACTTAAGGTGGATTATTCAAAAAAATGGGAGACATATTTCTGAAAAATTTAAATCCAACTAACTAGAGATACATATTAGTTGATTTTGATTTTTCAAGTAGAACACAGAAATTTTGGGAATATTTCAAAGGAAATCTTCATAGAAGTCCAAAAACTTTCTCCTCGCCGATCCAAATAAATTTCCTTTACAACAGTCCCCAAAAGCCCGATCTGCTTTTTTATTTCTTTTTTTTTTTGTACCCCAGTGTAATAATTGATAGTTTACTGAACTTTTTTCTTCATAAACATCGTCATCTCTTTGAAGGAAAAAAATATAACTGTTGATGCTGTTTCTGTTATTTACTGGCTAGATAGTTGGCTGACTGGCTGTCTGTCTCTTGGCGGCTAGCCTCGGCTGATATGAGCAAAGCAATTGTCTCTGTGTTTTATCCATTTGTCGGTTTGGTTTTTCTTTTTTTTTTTTTTGTTTTGTGTACTTGGCCCATTCCATTCCATTGGCCATTATTGCCGCATGAGTCATGGGAAAAAAGCGTCTAAACAACAACAAGAACACATTATAAATTTTTGCGGTGTTGTAATGTCGGTAATAAACAATTATCTTCCACATTGAATGTAGCCATTATAGAGATTCTAAATACATTGAAAGCGATTTATTCACACACATAAACACATTGACTTGATAGCAGAATAGTTAAATAATAAACTTTGCAACTCGCTTCTGAGAGATTTGATTTTGTGGCAAAATTAATCCTATGACAACATTTTGCCCAATAGAAAGTAGTTTTTTTTTTGTTGTTGTTTCGTTTTGTCTGAAGGTATTCT